AGATTCTCTGACGTGAAAGCAAAAGCAAGAGCCTAAAGCCAACATGAAACCCTGTGTGATAAAAATCAAAAGAGTGTGCGTTGCTGTGGACTTACCGTTTCAGTCATGAGACATGATGAGGAAGCACCAGTCTGATGGCCAACAATATGAGGATGATCAATATTCAAGATGACATTGCATTATGAATAGCATATAGCATTGACATTGTTATTGAAATACACAACCAAGATAAAGGATGAAACCATGTCAATGACAATGGGCTGCTGAAGGACTTTTTGAGATCCCTACGACTTAAAACTATGGCATGGTGATGTTCAACTAACATGTTAAGCAAAAAAAAAGACAGACGAAAAACTTCAGTCTAAAGAAAGCTGGCATAAGCCCCATTCTCACTAGCCTTTTGAAACCGTGCCTACAATGGTCCGAGAACGTTAACCAAGATAACTGTTGAGTGTAAATAGAATGCCACTGCACTGGACCATACCAGACACAACAGAACCATGCAAAATCTAGTACTAGTTCAGCAGTAGGGCTCGACATGATTCATCTGTGGCTCCGTTTCTGATAACAAAGAGCGCATGAGCAGACCCCGTCATCTCTTATTTACACTCAGCTGACTCATTTTGTGGTTTTCCCACCATGTCTGCCTTTGTAATTCACAGATCTCTTGAATTCGGGAGAAGCTCAGTGTAGAGCCGGTTCTCCTCAACATCGAGAGGAGTCAGTTGAGATGGCTCGGACATCTTCTTCGGATGTCCCCTGGACGCCTCCCTCGGGAGGTGTTCCAGGCACGTCCCACCGGGAGGAGGCCCAGGGGATGACCCAGGACACGCTGGAGAGACTATGTCTCTCGGCTGGCCTGGGAGCGCCTAGGGCTTCCCCCAACAGAGCTGGAGGAGGTGTCTGCGGAGAGGGAAGTCTGGGAGTCTCTGCTTAGTCTGCTGCCCCCGCGACCCGTTTCCGGATAAAGCGGGAGACGACGAGTACGAGTACGAGATCTCATCATCTGTTCACAACGCAAACTTCTTCTCGAACTGTTAACAAAAAACAGCATCAAAAGAACATGGTGTGACTAAGTGTGGATGATGCCAATACTGAGGCTCTCATTGAAATTTGGGCGGAGGACGCTATCCAGGCACATAAGTTCCTGAATATTTTTGGTGCCGCCATTTTTGTTTGCAGATTTCCCGCCTTGAGAGCTGTAGTATCGTGGACCACCGATAGGAGGCAATGAACCATGCAAGGGTGATGTGTAAATGGTCGTAAGGAACCAACCTCGGTACGGTGAACTGATCCAAGCTCGGTCCGAACTCGGCACGGATCGGTTTCAGAGGGGTAGTGTAACTGGGGCCTTAGACTCGCAGCTCTAACTGGAATAAAAGGTGGAGAGGTATTGACTCAATCTGGGATGAATATCAATGCCCTCCACACTTTTCAGTTCGGTAGTTGCAAATAATGTATCACATTCCCACCTATTAGAGTTACTTTCTTCTGGTGTCTTACATCAAATTTCAGTTTGATGCATCATTTTGCCTTTTTAATTTGGAATATTTCAGGGTCTTACCCTAGTCAACCCATCCTGTTTGCGCATCATTTTTGGTTTCATGAGTATATGATGAATAGGTGATTTTAAGTGAATAAAAATCTATTTTTTTTGATCCCTTTAACTCCCTACTAGCTAATCTTAGTCATAAAATAGTCTGTTACTAAAGACTAGACAGGGAGAGGGTAAAAATCAAACCAGTGAATTATTGTTAAATTATATCTTAAAAAAGAAAAGAAAATGGTTAAATGGTGCAAGGAGCAATACATTTGTATGTATCATTGTAATGCTGCAGAAAGGACACATTATAAACTATTGCCATATATTATTTGAAAATAGACTTACAGGCCTTTCAGGCCTTAGCAAATTGATCTCGACCACCTGATTGGGACTATTAACAAGCCTCTGTCATTAATATAACTGGATATTTAACCGCTTCAAATAATTCCTCAGATATGTCTGCTTGTCCACTTTAGCGACTAGCAGTATTTTCATATTCCGCCCTAAGCAATATTATATTACATTATATCATTGATTTTTTTATGCTATATTTTGATTGCACAATCCAGACATTCTCATTGGCAAATTGGTGCACCTCCCACCTCCTCCCATCTGGACTTGGATCAAAGACTTCCTCAGTGACAGACAGCAGTCAGTGAGACTCGGCTCCCACCTGTCCTCCTCCCTGCTTTCCTCAAAGCTACTTGTTGAGCCCTCTTCTGTACACTAATGACAGTACTCAATTCCACCTGTCAAACTCCATAATCAAGTTTGCAGACGACACCACCCTGCACCTTAACATCATAAGAACCAAAATGGTTGTCTTTGAGTTCAGAAAGACTAGAGTGGACTTGGTAAAGACATTGGCTTCCTTCCAATTATTTGGACTTACCATCTTTAAGGACCTGTGATGGTCTGGAAATATAGATGTGATGACAGTGAAGGCCCAGCAGGGTCTCATTTCTTGTGCTTTCTCAGAAAATACAGACTGAAGAAGCTGCTGGTGTCATGAAGCAGGATAGAAGGACCCAGTATTCAAGGCGAGACAGACAGAGGCATATTTTAAAGCATTTATTAAAATAGAGCATGCTGTGGATCCTCCAAATCAGCGGCTAGAGCGTCTAGGACTGGAAACTGTGGGAGAAAAACACAGATTAGTGACTATGATAATCTGATGGAGGATGATTGTCCATGTTAGTCACTAACCTGATTTAACAGTTTGGTCAATCTCCATAAAAGGAGGTAGGATCCAGCTGGTGAGCTGCCAATGAGATGCGGGGGGCGCTGCCAAGAGCTTCCCAAAAGCCTCAACCATGGAGGACAAGCAGGAGTCTGAGCCAGGTCAGGGAAACAGATCAGAAAAGGAAGGCTAAGAGGTTCTGGAGTCTGAAGCCCAGTCAGGAATACCGATCAGAATAGGAACAGGCTAGTTCAGGGTTCCAAGAGTCTACATACAGTTCACACAGAACGTTCAGATGGGAGCAGGTAGGCTCAGTGTGCTCTCTCCACGGAGCCAAGAGACGAACAGACATGTTGAGTGGATGAGAGGCAGATCAGGAAATCAGAAACACTACGGTACGCTAAAAAAAAAAACTTTTCTCCACTTGCCCCCGAGAACGAACACTAGAACAAAAGCATCCGCCATCTGGCCATGATGGCTGGGACTGAGCAGTATGAATAGTAGCAGGAGCAGGTGGATTAGATGAGCAGTAATGAACTACCGGGCAGAGTTAGACAGGTGAATGAAATGAGCAATTAGGCCAGCCATCAGATCGTGAGACCCAAGATTATGACAGTTGGTGTCCCTGTATCATGCTAAAATCCACCTAACATACCACACCTAGATCTTACTGGATCTAGGTGTGGTATAACCTGACTCCACCAGATGGATTTGCTCCGCATATCCATCTGGACACCTTCCGTTGAAGTAATTTTGGGAAGGGGCGAAAATACTGGTTAGCTGATTGGCCTATGTTGGTGATAGACGGGCCAAATAAACCAATAAGATCAACGAAGCATATGACGTACTAACAGAGCGACGACGAAGAGGAGCCAATTGATAGATCAAACTCTTGCCGAAACCAGTCGGGAGAAGAACAAAAACATCTTTTCCTCTGAGAAAAGCCTCCAGAGCAGTGTTTTGCTCTTCTCTCAGTGAAGAAATACTCTTTAATTCCGATAAAACTTGCTAGATAAATACCATAAACACCATTAACATGCTTAAAGCCTCCCTCCATCCAGCTGCTCATCTGTTTTCTGGAATATTTGTCCACTGCTGTCATTCCGTGTTAGTGCTGCTATGGTTCTACTAGTATCAATAAATTATCTGTGCATATATATATATATATATATATATATATATATATATATATATATATATATATATATATATATATATATATATACTTTTTTTCCCCCTTTTTATAACTTAAAGGTCCCATATCATGCTACATTTGTTAAATCAAGAAAACGTTGCCCCTCAGACCATATCTTTGCCATTTGTTCAGGAAGACTCTCAGATTAGACAGTTTTTGACCAGAAAAACTCTTTATCCAGTCCTTATCTAAACAAGCTGTTTAGATGATGGGTTCATGATTCTTATATTTTTTTTTCTGCCATTCAAAACTAAAAAATTCTAAAAAATCAGGCGACTTTGAATATTGTAAAATGAACACCAGAGTTTCTATCGAAACAAATTTAAATAAACATAGCTATAAATTATAAATATCTGAGGAACTGATTTGATAAACAGTAAAGGTTCGTACATGCAGAGTGATGCTGTTTACTCAATTTTGGGTTGAAACTTTTTTATTGCTCATAACTCCACCTCATAAATCTGGAGCTTTAATACAACCTTTCACCTCCCAGGCATTTCCACATACCCTGATTGACCTCTTCTTTGTTCCTCTGCTCTACTACTCCATTTTTTCCAAATCTTTTGGGAGGAAGAAGCTTTCTCCCCACTCTAGCTCTTTCTTTTTAAGTTTCCTCATCTGTTGGCATTCCGCTTATTGCTTCTGGCTGCAGCCTCTTATTTTTTCAATCTTTCCTGTTTAAGTCTTCCTCTACCTTTCATTGCCTTGCCTGACTTAAAAACATGGTTTTAAATAGCTGTCTCTCTCCAATTTGGTTCAGATGCTGTATTTATTGGCGGGGACGTCTGCGTTTTTTTGCCTGAATCTGCATCTTTCATTGAAACTGTGTCCTCCGTTGCCTTTCCTCTGGCTTCTTCTTCACCATACTTCATCTGGTTTTCTCTGCTTGCACACATGCTCCCCTCAGCTTTTTTGTTGTAGCCAGAGAATTTGGTGCCGGTGTTGAGTTTCATACAGTGGGAAATATTTTTGAACCATGCAGGAAATGTCTGAAGCACTTTTTTTTTCTTGCCTTGCCAATCTACAAAACACATGCACAGATTTTTATTATTGAAAAATTTTTATTAAAATAAAATACTGAGTCATCTTCAATGACTTGTAGTTTATTGGATATTCTTCTATTCAGCATTCCAATGTTTGAGAGGCAGCCAGGCTGCAGACATGTCTGGCTTCATAGAGGAAAGGGTCTGTCAAAGGAAAGAGCAGCACCAGAAACAGCAGGAGTCCGCTCAGATAACAGAAGAGCACAGCTGAACGCTGAGGGTGGCTGAGAGCAGAACCAATGTCAGGGAGACCCTGGCTGTTGCAGAAGGAATGGCATAAAATTGGACCCAGGATATGACCTTAGGAAGAAAACACCACAGATCTAAAATTATCACACATAAACGAGGTGGGTTCTTTATTATTAAATGTGTATTTTAACCTCTTCTCTCACCAGTTCTCGTGAATAAAAAGGCAGCAAAGACACCAAAAACAGTTGTGTACAAAAACTGCACTCCTGTTATAAAAATAAAAAAACGTCTTAATCAGAAGAAATTCACTTTTGTATTTTTTTGTATTCATTAAATTAATCTGATTAGAATTTTAAGAGATATCTCAAAATGGTGCCTGACTGAAAAGTGATCTGCTTTGATTGTCCTTAATTTATTTGTTTTTATTCTATTTTTAAGATAAAAAACTTAAATCCTGATTTCTTTTGAGTCAAAGTTAAAAACCCATTTATTTTAGTGCTGCCTTTGACTGTTGAAGTTAAACTGTTAACTCAGGTATCATTAGTTAGAATACGACTTTATTGATCTCACAATGGAGAAATTCACTTGTGAGCTCTTATAAACAAACAGAAGGTGCACAAAGGAGGTAACAGTGCAATCAGACATATACAGTGGATGGTAAAACATAAAGGTGAGATATAAGGTGACTTATATATTCAGTATCTTATGTACAGTAAAGTGGTGGTAGGTTAAAGTGTGGTTTCCAGTTTGTTAAATAGATAAATAGTATAAGTTATTGTAGTATCATTACACCTAGTTATAGCGCAACACCAGTTTAAAGTGCATCGTGGTTGTTGTCCATCTATTTTTATTTATTTTAATACCTGGTTTTATCATATTTTTGTCTTCCTTTGGTTTTATTTTACTTATATTGCATTGTTTAATACATGTAAAACCATTAGAATTGTCCTTGTACTGAATTTTGCTCTATAAATAAACTTGCCTTCAAGGGAGTCCTGGTTAAGAGGCAGCTAAACTTACATTACAATGAACATTACTTAATTTACACACCTTTCAAAAACAATTGCAATTTAAGGAGGGTTGCTAGAATGATCAAAGACGCCAAAAAATATATCTGACCAGGTAAGTATCATATCTGTTTTGTTGGACAGTAAAACATGGTTGTGGCATCATCATGCCATAGGGAAGTTTTCATCAGTGGGGAAAAAAGGAAGGTAAGAATTCGGATATATCTTAATACATGTTAGCCCTGCAGAAAAGAAGCTGATAGAAGCTCTAAAAGGCTCAAGAAGAGGTCTAGCTTCCAGCAGGACACCAAACCTACACACAAAGACAGAGAGGTGTGGTTTGGATCAAATCACATTCACATCTCAGAATGGTGCAGTCATTGTCCATATTTTCAGTCAACAGATTTTGTTGGGGGATAAAAATGGTTATTCTTCCCATTTTTTTGCTCGAGAAAAGGCAAAACAGTCTAGACGTGTGGGTTGAGAAATATCTCAGATCAGTTAGAAAGCGTTGACTTGGTTTATAAACATGCTAAAATATAAAAAATGTTTACTGTATGTGCAGAAAAAGAAAACCACATATATTTCCTCAAAAAAAAAAAAAAATCAGAGTTGCTTTTTGTGTAACATCACACAAAACTGCAGCGACGTAGCTTGTTGTTAAAACGGCATCAATACTCCAGCAAATCACTGCAGAAGGATAAAGTAAATTGCCTCTGAATGCATGTCAATATTCAAGGCTGAGCTGGCAATATATGCTGGCATTTAATTTGAAAAGAGTAAACGTGTGAAATTTGCTAAAAATGAATAAAGCTCAACTTTTTCCCTCATGTAGTTTATCTAAAAACAAGCTCACCTGACTCCAGGAAGATGGCACTCACTCTGTCCTTTCCCAGCTGCAGCTGCTCTATGATATGATGAAAATGAGCTAAAATGAAATAAATTCTGTAATCAGGAATAGGGCTTTTTTTTCAGAGTTTAATAGTGTGCATTGTGGTTTGCCATACCAACACCAAAGAAGAGAGGAGCGATAAAAATAGCAGCTGTGGTTCCAGTGCAGGGCACCAACATAGGCAGCATGGCTCCTCTGAACACCAGCTCCTCCGTTACTGGCGCCACCACCTGGTTCCTGATCCACTCTGCATCTTGCAAGCACAGCCTCCAGGTTTGAACATCTGGGAAAATACATCACCGTCAGGATCTCATGATCGTCTTTAACTCAAAGGAGTCACACATGTCAAACTCTTTGCACCAGATTTCTCCAGCAGAAGCTTTTAAACATTCTGATTGCAAACAGACCCAAAGCAGATCGCAGCTCGCCGGCGAAGCCATCAGGGTTGTCCAGAGCAGACTGAACCAAGGGTCCCAGATAAAAAAACTATTGAGTAGAATAAATATAAATGTTTATACCATGCACAGGCAATATATAACAACATGACTAAAGGTAGGAATGTGGAAACAACATGGCACGCTTTTTATGATATAGTTTAAACACACTTAAGGGACCTGAAATAAAAAAAAATAGCAACACTGTAAAATGTTAAGAGTTAAATAAAATCTGCCCTAATAAGGCATAAATACTACCAAATAGAATATTAAGAAAATAAAAATAATACACATTAATTTGGTTGTATGGAATCAAACAATCAATCAAGTTTAGTTGTTTTCAAATTGAACCCATAAGGATATATAACAAAGGGGTTAGTTTGGTTTTTACCCAAATGGCTTACCGTTATCGTTACTTTGATGAGTGTTTTTTTTTTTTTGCCCGCCTATACTTTCTTTTAATGGGCTGTTATCAAGAAACTGAAGTGATTTACATTGTTTTCAAATTAGAGTAAAGGTTTACAGTTTAACTGAGTTCTCCATAAAAAGTTCTGAGTTCTCCATAAAAAGTTACAAGGAAGTTTTTTTTTTTTTTTTTTTTTTTTTATCCACCTCATTAAAATACAACCTGAAACCAAAGGGATCTAGAAAGAAATGTTTCTAAATGCAAATTTAAATCCCTTTATTATCCCAGAATTGGGAAATTCACTCTTTTCTCTTCTACTCCACAATCTTTTCACTAATTTTACCTGCAGTCAAAGATTCTGACCAGCAGTCTAATAATGCAATTCTGAGATCTGACCTCTGAAAGCATTCAGGTGCTAATTAGGAAAATGTAAAAAATGATCAAGTTTAGAGAAATTTTACTTTTTCATTTTTAAATCCTCTTACCCCACACTAAGCTTATTTTACTATTACTGGCTACAATTATAAAGTGCTTACATTTTTTTTGTGTCTGAAGTTAGATTAACTTTACCTCATAAAAGTCATTTAAATGTGTAAAAGTGCTACTTTTTTTTCTTTTTGTCTGACTTTTACAATCGAAAATACAATTCAAGTATTTAGCACATAGATTTACTTGAACTAGAGTAAATTATATCTTTCGAAATTAAAAAGCCATATTAAAAAAAAGTGTAGATATGATATTGACATAGGTTATATGATATGAAAACATAAAATACACACATATTTACAAATATTTAATATTTTAAGGTTGCTATTTATTTGCACCAGATTTTTTAAAGAATAAATAGAAATGTAGGCTTATTACAAATTTGTGACATTTATAATGGTCAATGGAAAACATACACAGTTAGGGACGAGTTGTAACAGAAACAAAAAGTTGCCCAAGGTTCCTAAGTCCACACTGAATGCATAATAACTGGCCCTGAGGGACTCCTCATGGCTGTGCATGTAATACAAAGCTTCCTTGCATATTTGCATCAATGAGTGTCAAGGGTGTTGGGCCATAAACCAGGATAATAATTTTTGACATTGAGGACCGATCTCCATGTTTCATCCTAACATCTTCACTGGACTAGAAGTTGCAGTTCAGATCCAAACCTTCCCCCTACTTTCAAAGGACACCTCCCACAGAGGTGTACCATGCCCCCCCCCCCTTCCCGCAGAGTATGACAAACGTGATCAAATTAAAATACCACAGCACACGGAATTTCTTTAACTTTCCGTGAAGCTGCCCGGGGGTTCACATTGGAAGAGGGACAACATCATGGAGCCAAGGCCCAGATCTCCAGCATGACGGTGGCTAAGTCGTGATGGTTGACATTTAAGGACCAACTTGCTGCAAAACAGACCATTTGCAATATTTTTCTCTGATTTTCAGAAGTTACAGACCTGGACTGAAGGCGAAAGCCTCCTACGGAAGCCTTTCCCTTGGTGTGTGGCACGTGGGACATAGGAACCCCCATTATTTGGACAAATAATGCTTTTTTTGAACTCATGGATTTGCATTGTAAATTGGTTTGAAAACATTAAAATTAAAATCGCTCTAAATTAGTGAAAAGCTAATTTGATGACATCCTAAATTCTTAAAGATATACTTTGGTTGTCAAACACAAAATCCATGCTAAGCTGTGAAATTGTTTTCAACCATGTTTTCTCTCCCTGTTTCTGCATAGTTTAGTTTAGTTGTGTTTCACTGGTATTTAGTCAAGTGTTTTTAACTGAAATATGGTTCTCTTGGAGCTGAATTATTTTGGTTAATAAACTCACCTAAGTTGTGGTGAATTGATTCCATATATTTGCAGAATTTTCAGTTTGACCATGATTTGAGTTTGATTAATACTTTCATTTGTTGTTCTAACACACAGCCGGTAGGGTGTGTGTTCATAAACAATATATGAGAATCCAAGTAATATCTGACTAAATAAGATATTTACCACCTCTACTGCAGTGGGCAATAAATATATTACAGTAGCACCACAGGCGGTTTAAGGACTTTTGCTGCCGCTCAAATGATTATGCCGAGCGCACGTGAAGAGAATCAGGGAGGAAATCTTTATTTGTAAGACCTTGAAAAAGAAAGAACTTTAAATGGCAGAGGCAAAGCTTTGCTCCTTGTGTAGGCCTACTCACTGTGATGTCAGCCCAGTACATCCATAGCTTCACAAACGCAGGAGATACTGCAGACACCAGAATAACACTGGCACAGCGACGCTTTATCACCCTTGGATGGTCCCTTTAAAGACACAAATACAACCATTATGAGCTTCTTGAATGACGGACTACCTGGCTTCAGATTAGTAGTAGTGTACCTTGGTAAGGTGCTGCACCAAATGTATAAGCTCCCAATGTAGAGAAGAGCCAGCAGAAGGCAACCTGTCACACTCACCAAACAGCTTTTGTATTGCTCCTGCCTAATGCAGCCATGTAATGGCTCCTGCATTACAGAACAGGAGGTCTATAAGTGGTTCTACGGGAAACTGGTGAATAAAGCAGCACAGGCTCTACATGCTGCACTGCTAAGCTTGATCCTTTATGTCAGTTTGAATTAGTAAATCCTGCTGTGGTGATGATTTGCCTGCAAAGACAAGCTGATTTGCTGGAGCTCAAGAGGTACAGCTAGAAAAGTGAAGTAAAAAATATTAATGTCTTTGATCCTTCTTTGATAAAAGAATGAAATGATCCATAACAAAGTAAAAACAAACGTTCCCTGACCGGGAATCGAACCCGGGCCGCGGCGGTGAGAGCGCCGAATCCTAACCACTAGACCACCAGGGAAGGCCTGAAGACGCCTGCCCTAACGCACGTCTTTAAATAAACACGGGGTATCGCTGCTAACGATCATTCAACATATTCACGTGAATATGTGAATACGTGAATAATATTTTTTTAGATTATCTGTTATACTGTAAATAATCCTACAAAGTTGCAAGACTAACCTGCTGTGTTACTTGTAGCAGTTTGAACTAACTTTACCAGCCTTCACACGGAAGTTAAAGCTACTAAACTTTATTTACCTGCCGTCGTTTAGCCACTTGGAGAAGTTGCCTTTCATCGCAGCAACATCTTTCTCCTCCCTACTTCATTTCCTGTTTCATGCTCCTGAAAACGTACCTTTATTTGAGTCCATCTTCAGCACAACTGCTCCTCCATGTAAACACGCGCTTCAACAGTGGCATGCGTGCTGCATAGTAGTATGTGATAAAATAGTGAGGACATAGATACACTTTCAAGAAGATTCATTCCTGGACATACTATAGCGTTTTCTTTCACACCAATCTACTTTAATTAACATGAACCATTCAATAGAAGGTCTTAGTGTCACGATTGGTTATGGTTAGTTGACCCAAAAGCAGAGGCAAGGAGGCAGAGTTTGACCAGGACCCAGCAAAGAAGAACAGAACAGAGAGAATATTTATAGAGAGACTGAAACAAAGAGAGGGCTAATGAGCAGAGTGGGAGCAGGTGTGCACAGAGCAGGAGAGGAAAAGAGCTAGGGGAAAAGGAGAACACAAGAGGGCAGCAGAGGGCAACAAATAAAAAACCTAGAAAACTGAAAATAACTAGAAAACACAACAAAATAAGAGTTAAACCACTAAGGCTATTAAACATTGAGCAAAGTAAAACTGAATACTCAAAAGAAAATCATAACAGAGCCAAGACTGAAACAGTAAGTAAGAATTAACAAGAGAACACAACAAAAATAAAAATGAAACCATTAAAACTAGAAAACAAGGAGTAAAGCAAAAATAAACACTCAAAAGAAAACATAACAGAACCAAGACAGAGACAGTAAACTGAGAAAAAAACCAAAGAAGACAACAAAATAAGACTTAAACCGTAACAAACAAGGAGCAAAGCAAAACTGAACATCCAAAAGAAAAACATAACAGAACCAGATCTCTAACACTTAGTTGGAGCCTCTAATAGATTACTTCTAAGTGTTTCTATCATCTTTGCTCCTACTTTGAAAAACGTCCCTGTTTCTGCTGAGGAAAAACTTCCCCACAGCATGCCAATGCCAACACCATGTTTTCTAAATGTGTCTGAGTTAATTTTTCCCCACCTGTGTTTCTGTATTTTATTAATACATAATAATAATGACCTGTTGACAGTTATCCTATCTGTTCTGGATCTTTGAAGCAGGCCATTCACATCCAGGCCACATTATAAATAGCATGCTGGGAATATTATGGTTAGTATGGTGGGTTGCTTCTCAGCAGTGGTACTCACTTCTTTTATATTGAATCTAACAGGGTTTGTAACAGCTGAGTGTTCCTTTAATTGATTTTTAACTTGCCGATTTCTAAATGGCAGTTTGATTTATAGTATAAACTACACTGATGGCACAAGCTTCCATATAATAATGTAAACTGCAGGTAGGTCAAAAGCAGCATAGCGGTACACCCAAAAACAGAAAGACTTGACACATAGCAAACCTTTTCTTTTATCAATTTTATTTGTTATTTGCCAACACAGTCTGAAATATTGAGAGCAACATTTGAAATCCTACATGCAAATTGATGGGTACCTTTTCATCTACACCTGTATTTGAAAGTTATGCAGAAATACCCGACATTTTCACTTCAGATACAAAAGAAACAGGCAACATCTACTCCAAAGAGGCTGTAGATGACTCAAGTCACCCGCCTCCAAGATGAAACTATAAAGCAATCTGAAAACACATTTTAATATGTGTTAAAACTTTAAGCATCGGTAGACTGTTATCAGGAATTACAGAAAGTTCATATAATTTCCTCACTGAAAGCCTTGTATGGTTGAGTCCAGCTCAAAGATTCACTAGATAAACCAATTTCTAAATAGTTTTTTTTTTTACATTCTTTGGAAACTCTTAGGAAAGGTAAAAGCCTCATGTATTTATAGCATTTATATCTTCATTAAAAATGGTACGACTTTAGTTTAAATATAAAAGCTTTCCAGTAAGGTGAAAAAGCTAAATATACTGCATAGGCAAAACAAAATAAAAAGAAAGAAAAAAAAACAGGATCAGGTGGTGTGTGAATACTTAATGATGTCCCATCAGATATACACAGCACAAGAAAAACTGTATGTGCAAATAACGTATGACAAAATGACACACGATTTAAATAAATAAAACAACCAATGAAAGGATTTAACACAATACTACTAAAACACAGACATGACTTTCAGATAACACACATTCTCCAGCTTCAGACCTACAGCACATTTCTAAGGAGAAAAAAAAGGCTCCTTAACTCCTCAAAGTTTGTATTTAGTTTTTTAATTTAAGGATGATTCTCTGTTGAGACTTTGGGTTATAAATACAGTTTGTGCTTTTATTGTAACACACATTTGTCTTTGTTGCTGTATTTCCTCCTTCTCATCTCCAGCCCTCGCTCGAGACGCTCGTCCTCCTCCCGAGCACTGCAAACACAAAAACACTTTTTACTTCAGCATGAATGTTTTTCCTAGTAACTCAAAGTAAAAACTACTAAGATGATTGAGCTAAAACGCATGTTTTCACTCAGAAATCCCTCAGCTAAAGCACTTTTCAAAATGACACCTGCTAAAGGTGTGTAAAAGACCTTTAAACAATATGATAATCTATTCACTCAATATCTGTAATAAAAATCAGACTTTTTATTTAGTTCCAAATAAAACTCCATTAAACTTCTTTACCGTCATTTCTACTGCATTCACCCACCGTTTCTCTTTGTCATCGATGTCTCGGATGATTTCGTCTCGCTGGTTGACCAGAGACACCAGCTCCTGGAGGAGCAGCTGCTCTCTCTGTTGCTGAGTGATTGTCTTCTGCCAGTCTGCAGAACAATCAACAGAACACCACATTTTATTCCATCAATACCATTTTAGATATCTGATTGCAAGTTTTTGAGAATAATTTTGATTAATATAAAAAACTGGCATTATGGAAATAAAATAATTTTTATATGAGATAATTATCAAAGGGTGAGTTCACCCAAAGAGTTTAAACTTGCTGAAAGGAGGAACGGCTGCATGCACTATGTTCTGCAGGCCTGCCAGTCAGCTCACAAACAATCATATTTAGACTTAAACAACTTTTATTGCCATTTTGTATACACACAGTGTATACAAAATTTCATTTAAAACAGCTTTTCAGACAGTAAATGCACATTTTGTATACACACAGTGTATACAAAATTTCATTTAAAACAGCTTTTCAGACAGTAAATGCACATTTTCACTCCTTAAAGTGCAGCAGCGATCAAATGCAAACAGTGTGGGAGAAAAAACATTGCGCAAAAAACAAATTGTTTTGGAAATTCAGAGCAATATATATATATATATATATATATATATATATATATATATATATATATATATATATATATATATATATATATATATATATATATATATATATATATATATATATATATATATATGGTGCAAATATGCAAACATTTTGGTTTGGTTTTATCAGTGTGATGCAGAGTCTGTGACATGATTTGGATCGATGCCTAATTTGTAGCGTTCTAAACGGCGTATTTTGTGTATTTGTCTGGGGCTGTAGCAAGCCGCTGCCTACAGGTGCAGCCATCTTGGTTTCATATTTATAACATAGCTGTTAACCAGGAGTAGTTTGTGATGGTTGCACACAGGCTTTTGTTAATTATGACATAAAGAGAGAAGTAAGTGCCAAACTGAATTATTCCGTTTTCATAAAGGGGTTAAACTTTCCTCTGGTAACATTTGGTAAAGCCGCTACTAGTTTGAATTTTTTTCCATAGTAAACTATTCCCCTTGTATTTTGTTTTTTGCTAAGGTAAAAGCAAAAAAATGATGGTTGAGCTACAATGCAAGTTTTCACTCAGAAATCCTAAACAAATCCCTCAGCTAAAGCACTTTTCAAAAAGAACATTATCTATTCACTCAATATCTGTGATAAAAATCGGACTTTGGTAAAGCCACTACTAGTTTGACTTTTTTCAATAGCAAACTATTCCTTTTGTAATTTCTTTTTTGCTAAGATAAAAGCAAAGGCTGAAAACAATGGATCAAATTTTACTTGTAATTTCACAGACAATGCAGGAACCATTAATGTAAATATCATTCATGATAAATGTGTAACAGGGATAGATTTAGCAATAAAGATCATAGAAACCTACAAGCTTATAGATTTACGTTTCAAACAAACATGTCTGACATTAAACCATCAGTTGTGTGCTGACCTTCTATAGCCATCATGACCCGTAGTTCTCTGGTGAGAAGCTCAAATCTCCTCTCAAGGTCCTGCTCCTCTTGTCTGCAAAGGATTCATATATAAGAGAAAAGTAATTGAATCTGATGCTTAAAATCTGAAAGAGTGTCTCCTGTATGCTTACAATAGTTCAAGGTTATCCTGTCGACGTATCAGAGCATTTTTCTTGTTCACCAAAGTAAACCACTCCTGGATCAGGCGCTCCTCTTCATCACGATCACTCCCTGTAAATGGAAAAGAACAATTATTAAGTTCTTATTGTCAGGGTTCTTCCCTCTGTTTTGCTTTATAGTTTCTTTGTAATTTTGTGTCTTTTTAGTTGTTTTCTGTCATTTTTTTATTTCCAGTGTTACTCTCTGTTGCCCCCTTGTCGCTGTTTCCTTTCCCTTTGGCTCCCTTCTGGTTAGCTCTAATCACACCTGCTCCATATCAGCTGATTTGCCCATCCTTTGTTCTGTTCCCCATATATACACCACCTCTGCAGTTCCTCATGGCTGATTTCTTGCTGTTTTTGGTGTCTCTTTGCTCCCCATATGTATACACCCTAACGTTAAAAGGATTTTTGGTTTTTAGTGTTTTTATGTTTTGCTTCTGTTGCCTTGGACTTCTTAATTAAATCAGCAAAACTCATCTCTACAGTACCTCCTTATCTCTGCATTTGGGTCCTCAAGACATCCATACAACCTTGACACCTATAGAATTATGGCACAAAGAACCTAATCATGCCTAATATGCCAGATAGAAGAAATTGATTGGTTCCTTGGGGATTAAAAAATGTGATTCTTAGTTAGTCTTCTTAATGCATTTGAATGATTCAAAGATTATCTGTAAAGGACTCCTTGTTCTTGCCTTATTTCTTGAGGTGTCTTCATAGGCTTTTGATAGGACTACAGTCAGATTCCTTTAGTGTCTTTCAACCATTTTATTTTGATTTGTTTAAATCATCGTGTTGAAAGATAAAAAACATTGATGCATTTCCAGTTTTCGGTTTTTAAAGTTTCCTGCTATTTAAATAAAAAATATGACCCCCTTAAGTTTCAGAAGGTTCTAAGGGCTGTTAAACAGTAGGCATGAGCTATTTCCTGGTTTACAGATCACTAATCAAATTTATGCATTCCCACTAGTCAGCCTAAGGAGGTTAAGGACATTTCAGTTAACTTTATTTTACAATCCATGATTTATGGTTTTTCATGTTCTTTCACCAAATTAACAAAATCTAAAAGGATCTGGACCTAATTAAAATCAGTCCGTTCACCTCTGTTCCACTCAACCCTCATGTTTCCCTGTAAAGAACAGACCTGTTTCCATGAGACTTCGCAGTCGTCTTTCCACGACGGCCGCTCTGCTGTCGATATGCTTCTGCTCCGTCTCCAGCGCTGCCAGTTCGCTCAAGACATACTGACTGGTGTCCTGCAGGTACTGACCACAAATCACATCACACACACACACAGATGCATGCAAGCAACATGCATTCACACACAAATCCAGGTAAACATAAACATGACAGCCACAAGGAAAGGAGAAGAAGCAGAAGACAGGAAAATGGAAAGAGAAGAAAAAGGCAGTCACAGATTAGAGGGAAGTCAGAAACAATGGGGATAACAAACAGGGAATTTGTTCTGCTATGAAGAGTTTTAATGTGATTTTGTACAAGGCTTATTGTGATGAAAAAGAAAAAGTAAGTCATAAAAAACTGACCATTGTTTCCTCTTGTTTAGGAGGCTGGGTGTCAGAAGCAGTCTCTGCAATCAGAGGGACAGATGAGGGGCATTAAAGGGCCTATGTCATGCAAAATCCTCACCTTTCTTTTTAGCTTTTAACTCTGTTATAATGCTATTTCTTCATCAAAATCATTCACTAACTGTCATTTTTGCTTAATTCATCCCTGTCAGTAATCCTCATGATTTTTTCTCTCTGAGCAGCAGCTCCTCCCTGTTCTAAGAAAACAAGTAGCCAAGACAGGTCTTTGTAAAGGTTCTATTACCTTTGCCCTTTGAGGAGGTATCTACATTGAATGCAGCGCACCTACAAGTAAAAACCTCATTCCCTTTCCCCAATTAGGGAGCCGTAATGTGAAGCAGATTATTTCTGCTCTAAGTTGAGTCTAAATTGCTCTTTTAGAAGCTAATCTTTACAGTGACAGTAACTGTTCTTTTGTTAGCTACTATGTAAGTTGTGAAAATATATTTTACCTGAGAGAGGTATTAGATTTTTTTCAGCCTTCCCAAAGAAGACAGTGCCTCTAAGGAAATGTGATGAAATGGGCGGCACCCATGGAAGAAAACCACTAATATTTCATAACAAATAAATACTCCGTTGTGCCAAAGGGAATATTTCAGGATATATATGCCTATAGTTGACTTCCACAAGGTCTAAAAAACACAATATAGGATCTTTAAAGAAAAAAGATCCCATCAGAGATCAACATTTCCACTATTCTGAGTTCAAACAGGAACCTGTCCGGGTACCTACCTGAGTTATTGGCCTGTTCAGAGGCAGATTTTGCACCTTCATCCTGCAAAAGGCAGAACATAATGTCAAAGTTCAAGACTCATACCTTAAAAAAAAATCAGCTATATTTTAAGAAATGATTTCAGAGACCCAGTGATAAGTTTTAATTTGATGAAAAGGAGTGTAACCTGTTCAGATTTGGCAGCTTTGTTAATCGATCTTGGGGGTGGGACTGGGATTCTTGATTCTTCTACAGCAAAAACAATAAGGAAGCAGTGAGATGTGCAATTCTACCATTAAAAAACAGTCATATTTTCAGTCATGTCCACAGGGCTTTGCTTTTTGGAAAAGAACTCTAGACCACTTAAAAGAAATCACCTTTAACAGTCCGCTTGGTTCTAGGTGGGGGCACCACCAGGGTGTTGCTCCCTCCTTCCTCCAGACTCACTCCTTCATTCAGCCTAGCCATGCAGAAGGCAGCAGCGTCAACATTGGTGGGAGCGGGACCAGAAGGAGCGAGCCCGTAACTCGACTGACTGCTGTTGTGCTCGATCTGCAGGACGCTCAGCTCCTGGTTGGTGAAATGTGAGCGGATTTGGCTGAGGTAAGTCATAACGATGAGCCGGTCAGGAACAGACAGGAGCACCATGTCAGATGGCTCCAACAGACGAGAAATCCCCAACGCCTCAAAGCCATCGAATGCCTACATTTAGACAAAGGATAAAACGGATGAAGGGAATAAAATGAAATTGCTTTCGACCTATCATAAATTTTAGGCTTGACCTTCTTACATATTTTATTACATTAAAAACTTGCAATTATTTTAGTGCAAATGCATCTAATAGACCTCCACAAAGTAGTGCAGATGGAGTAGTGGAAGAAAAAAAAGTACAATTCTCAAAATAATTTACAGCAACAAATCTGACAATGTCGAAAAAGGATAAGTTAAAAAGTGTGTTAATTCACTTACAACACTGCAAAAAAGATGTAGAAATAAGTAAACATTTCTTAAATTAAGTGTATTTACACTTAATTTGAGTAGGTAAATAATATGATTTGCCAAGGAAATTAGTATCTTTACTCTTAAAATAAGATAATTAGATAATATGAATTGAAATAAGACATTCCAATAGTTTTTTTTCTTATTTTAAATGTAAATTGTCTTGTTCCATTGGCAAAGTGTCTCACTTTTTTCCTCAATTTGAGAAAAAATTAACCTATTTTAAGAAAAAATTACTTATTTAGATTTCCATTTTTTACAGTGAAGGTACTGTGAACAGTTTTCAACAGTCCCTAAATTTTCTCAGTTTCTATACCTATGATGTCCTACCCTGCTCACATGAAACAATTGTGTTAAAGTTACTAAATATGATTAAGTAAATGCCGGTTGCATTGTGCATTTGTTCTCACATTACACAGTAAACTTAACAGGCAATATAAAAAAGCTCAATATAAAATTCATCCTTGTCCAGCTCATTCTTACCTTCTTATTGTTTAACTTGATGTCATGAGAATCCAAATGTTCAAAGTCTCTGATGAGGTAGAAGCAGAAACATGAAACAATAAGGGTAAGAGATGGGCTTAAAAAATAATTATATGGGATATAGATAGTTTAGAGATGTTTTACATTTTGTCTGGATGAAAATGATGCAGTATGGCACAGAAGGCCAGGCCATTTCTCCAGGACGTACTGAAGTTTGTGACCTTTACACCCTGGTACTTGTTGGTGATGCTCTGACACCACTGGAGCAGCGACTGGCTGGAGTTTACAAGGTCCTGGGGAAAGAGCAAGATGACAATACCAATCACTGTTTAGCTATTGATTGTTAAGGTTTTCTTTGAGGGTACATCTGAGACATTTACCTCAGTGTCCTCCTTCCCATTTACCTCCCCTGTGACCACTGGCATTGGATCAGCAGTCTTGAGCTCGGGGGGTTCTTCTTCTGTTAATGTCGGAAGCCGAGAATTGTTGATCTCACACTGATGCGAGGAAATGATGGTATGCTGAGATGACTGTTTATCCGGTCCACCGTCAGTCAGGTCTGCTTTCTTGTGTTTTGTCCTATGAGGAGACAAAACACAGCAGCCAATGAACACACAGAGCAGAGTTCTGCAAAGATAAAACGGGAGCATCCATCTGCTTCAAGGTGGCAACAAACATGCAGTCATGTGAGGAAGCTGAACAAGCTGATGAAAACAAAGCTGGTGAAGAAAGATTAGATGTCAGCTAACATCAGCCAAAATTGAACAGTGTTAAAGGTGCACAACAATGTCAAGAAAATTCTAATTCCAGTCAGCAAAGAAAAGCCAAACTTACATATCTACACAGATAACCACTATGGTTGTATCAGAAAGAAATGAGATATTTCTGATATAGCCAAGCCTCTGTAATGTGCCTTGAGATGACATGTGTTATGAATATATAAATAAACTAAATTGAATAGAATAGGATTATTAGAACATATAAATAGGAATATATAAGGATTAGATGACAGTTTCTTACCTATTAGCATCATCACATGACCAAAAACACAATTTAACCCTCTTCATTTTAGGTTTCTGTTTTCTGTCATGTTTTTCTTTTGAGTATCCAGTTTTGCTTTTCTCCTTGTTTTCTATTTTGTTTTTCTTTAATTCTTAATTTATTGTGTTCTTTGGTTTTTTCTCAGTTACTGTCCTAGTCTTGGTTCTCCTATATTTTCTTTTTAGTGTTTAGTTTTTCTTTTCTCCATGTTTAATAGTCTTAGTGGTTTAATTATTATTTTGTTGTGTTTTCTAGTTATTTCCAGTCTTCCAGGTTTTTCATTTGTTGCCCTCTGCTGCCCTCTTGTGTTCTACTTTCTCCCTAGCTCCTGTTTTGTTTCTGCTCTGTCCTCACCTGTTCCCAATCTTCTTATTAGCCCTCTCTTTGTCTCTGTCTCCTTTAAAAGCCCTCTCTCTTCAGTTCCTCTTCGCTGGGTCCTCGTATAACCTCGTCTGTCTTCCTCCAACTCGTCTCTCTGAGCCTTCCTCCTGGTTACAGTTCTTCCCCTGTTGACTCCAAGGTTTTTTGGTAACATTTGACTTGAGTTTTCTTGTTTTTTGGGGGGGTTTTTTGTTGTTTTTTTTACTTTGTTTTCATTTTGGGATTTTTGGTTGCCTGTTTGTTTGGACTTTGTTTTTTCAGTAATTCATCATTAAATCAACCTTCTATTCACCTCTGCCTTCCTGGCTCTGCTTTGGGTCAACAACCCTAAACCAAATCTTGACACTTCATGTCTTTGCTTCAACATATTACCGTACACAGTCCACTTACTTTTTTGTTCTGAGTACTTTCAAATTTGATAGCTTATTGCAATAGGGTGTACACAAATGCAATATTCATATTTTAAAAATGTATATTGTTTTGCTTTACAAACTCATATATCAGCCATAATTCAGCTATAATTACTATATTACAAGCAAATACACTAGAAGATGAAAGCCTAAGCAATTTGCCTCTATAGTAGAGGTGATTTAAGAAAAAAACACAGTCTTTTTAGCCTCTGGGGACTTACACTGTGTCTTCTCCAAGTGGCTCTTCTGTGTCAATTAGTCTTATTTCCTGCAAAGCATCAGAGCAGATAACAACTGAGACCTGACTGTGATCGGTAAGGTCAGGGTGGGTGTTTAAGTGGCTTCCCCTCTCTGTAGGATCGCTGTCAATGTCACCAGGAATTGGAATGAGACGTTTCAGGGTAAGAGGCACACTACCAAGGGAGGAGTCACCTGACATCTGTTGAATCTTTGCCAGTAAAAGTCTCTCCTCCTCTTGGAGCTGCTGCTCTTTGGAGGGAATGTTGGTAAGACTGGCGGTCTTCTGGTCATCCTCGGACCTCAATTCAAGACTTCCTTGCAAATGCGAGGGCATTTCTGTTTCATGTATCTTACTGATACTAATGCCAGTGGGTGTTTCAGGAACCACCAAAGGTTGAACAAAATCCGTCCCCTTCAGGCTGCAATCAGTTTTAGTAAAAACTCTGTCATCTTGTTTTTGCATCGATTGTGTTTCTGTTGCCTCCTTCGACTGACGGATTAAAAGAGGGTCGGAAGGCTGTGTGTTTGTCTCAGCAGGTTGGGGTTTATTTTGCTGCTTCGTATTAAAGGTCTGATAAGGAAATTGTTCGGTGGAGGGGGATGATGAAGGCTTCTGGGCCTCGGCAGGATGTGGACGGCCTAGGCTAAAGACAAAAGGGGAAGAATTCAGAACTGGAAGACGTACGACTAATGTACAGTAACATGCATTTATGGCATGCTCTGGCACTTCCAAGCAGCAAAACAATATTATTGCTTCAATGGTCCCATGCAAAATGTGCTTTACTACCATAAAACCTTAGTTTAGGAATCTTCTATTTGCTCCAAAAACATCAGTTGACCAAAACTGTCCTTATAATACCTCCAGTTTTTCTGAACTGAGGATTTATGTGACAAGAAAAGCAAAGTTATCATCTATTCAGCCACGGTCATACTTCAGGGCTAAAATAACTCATAAAAAAATAATAATTCTGTCTTATGTATATCAACCATCTTTAACAACAATGAAACAAGGGTTGTTTATTCTATGAAAATGGGTTCAGCTGTAGGCAACTTTTAGGGAAAACTGTATTTTTGTTTTAGCCACTAGGGGCGCTAGACTTGTAAATTCCAGCTTCAGTCTTCCTGAAAACTGGCGACAATGTTACCTTGCAAAAAGATGAATTATCGCAAGATCTATGATTTCATAAAACTCCCAAAAATATATATATAAAAAAAAAAAAAACTCTATTTTTTTCTGAAAAAGAAGCCAAATGAGGCAATTTGTGCCCTTGTGGAATAAAAAGATGAGATACGTCCCAAATGAATTTGGCCAAAAACCAAGGGGCTGAAGTTAAAAAAGCTGGTCATTGCTGATGTGAAACTAGGCAAATACAACAAAAAAGTCCTCTGCGGCAAATATTAGCTGGTATTTGGGAGCCCGGGGTCATGGCTGCTCAAATCTAAATGGAATGTCATGCTTTCATCCGAGGCACCAGGAAAACATTGTTGGAATTGTCAAGGATGAAGTACATGCCACATACAAATGGTAAGTACATATAAACAGCATCTGCACACATATACGTTACAGCTATTACTGCTGCTGTGATTGGCTAAAAGCTCATGGGAGGCAGGTGCCAGTTGGGGATTTACCCAATCAGCTCAAAGTGTTGTACTGATGTCCCTCCCTTTTGCAAAAACTTTACACAGGAGCCTTTTCCAATGGCTATGGTGTCGAATTCCACTTGAACTACATGTATCAGTCTAGTTAACGCCAGATTAGCAGCACTGTACTATGAGAAAGAAAAATAGCCTCTCTCCCTTTTTAGAATCTGAAAGCAGAAAACTTTTGACCAGCAGATTGAGAAGTCAAGGAGTTACTTGTGTAGAAAACCCCCATTCACACCTCTAGATTAAATCCTAAATAAATAAAAAAAAAACACACACACACACAAAAAAAAAAGACACTCTGATCATGAAGCTTTTAGCTTCGTTGGCTCTCCTGTTTAATGGCAGCTCAAACTACAGTAAAGTGGCGCTCTGGGTCATATAACTCATTTAGTAATGGATCTGACTCTAGTAAGTTGTATAGGATAGTTTTTGAGAAGTGCAGCCCGAACGGAACATCAGTACATGACGTTATTTTTATTTTATCTTTTTATCTCAAATTAAGCTAAAACTTGCATTAAAACTTACCCAGCGTTTTTTTATTGTGTTCTGCTAAGCTAGTTTTGCATTGCACAAGATAAGCAGAAACAAGAGGAGGCGAAGAAATTGTTGCAACTTTTAAAGCTGACTGTAGTGAAAAGCATTTTGTCAAATGCTATATGCTATTAAGAGTTGGTTCGTCTTACTTCAGGAAGAGTATACTAACTTTCTGAACAATAATTCTATGGAAATGAGGATAATTTTGAATAAATGAATTAATCAAACGATGGCTGGTCTGCAGTAAAACCACTACAACACTGCATTTTTTTATGCTAATTCTACTTCCCATGTAATTTAATGCACAGTAATTGCGAACCATGGAGTTAAGATGATTTCTAAAGCAAATTTGCTTTGATTGTTTACTGATCTAATCCCTGTACAATTTTGCTAATGTCCTGTGTAAAACAGAACCATGATTTTTGTTTCATAATATATTACAGATGTGTATGAAATTACCCCAAGCGGGGTCGCAAAGGTTGCTGGTGCAGCTATCTACGGGTGAGAGGCAGAGTACACCCTGGACAGATCGCCAGTGCATTGCTGTATGAAACTATAATAACTTAAGTGTTGCTTCTTATTAAGATAAACATTTTAGAGGGATTTTTTTTTTACTTTAAAATTATGTATCATTGCCAGTTGTTGGAAACATGCAGATGCATTTCTGTCATGAGAAAGACTTCCACAGAAAAACCAAACTGTCAAAATGCACAAGATATAAGTCTGTTAACATTTTTTGAAAGGTGAACTGTGTTGTTATGAGAAGGCATCCACAAATGCTTAAACAGAGATCTCTCTAAATAACAGCAGGCACAATGAGATCTTTCTGATATAGCCAAGTCACACTCCCATTCCTGTTGGTATTTCATCCTCCATCATTCCCCACTCACCCTGTTTCCCCCTCCATATACAGTTCAGCCATCCATATGGAGCCAAGATCTTCCTGTCCCCTTTCATACTCTATTTCTTCCTCCTCCTCCTCTTGAAGCCACACTGGGAGGGCATCGTGTTTAGGTGTGGAAGTACCCTGCTTAACGGATGGTGCTTTTTTAACAAGACTCACAGATTCAGGGTTAACCGTTGTGGTTGGTTTGAGGTCAGATTGGAGTTTCTTGTCGTGTCCTTGTAGTCTCTCATCATATGCAATATCATCAAGCTCTGCCTCCTTCAGAGCGGGGCATTTAATTGATAGAGTTTTATTTTGTTTTTCATTCTTTTGAATAAATAAAGAGCCAGATGGAGAATTTGCCTCTCTTTTCTCCCATCCCTTCATTGGTTTTTCCATCACTACATTTTCTTCCTTATCTGTTTCATCCTCATCAGAGAGTTTTCCCTGTTGACTGAAATGCATTATCTCCTTGTCTTTCTCCTCAGTTCTTATTCTTTCATTTTTCAAGTCCAACTTTTTTCTATCTTTATTTGCCTCTGTCCTTTTCAGTCTTTCCCTTTCCTTCTTCTCTGCCTCTTCCTTTTCCAATCTTTTCCTTTCTTTCCTCTCTTCCTCTTCTTTCTCCAGCCTTTCCTTTTCTTTCCTTAGTCTTTCCCTTTCTTTCTTTTCTGCCTGTTCTTTTTCCAATATATCCCTTTCTTTCCTCTCCATTTCTTCTCTCTTTAGTCTCTCCCTTTCTTTCTTCTCCATTTCTTCTCTCTGTAGTCTCTCCCTTTCCTTCTTTTCTGCCTGTTCTTTCTCCAATATTTTCCTTTCTTTCCTCTCCATTTCTTCTCTCTTAAGTCTTTCTTGTTCTTTCCTCTCCATTTCTTCTCTATTTAGTCTCTCCCTTTCTTTCTTCTCAATTTCTTCTCTCTTAAGTCTTTCTTGTTCTTTCCTCTCCATTTCTTCTCTCTGTAGTCTCTCCCTTTCTTTCTTTTCCATTTCTTCTCTCTTTAGTCTGTCCCTTTCTTTCCTCTCCATTTCTTCTCTCTTTAGTCTTTCCCTTCCTTTCCTCTGAATTTCTTCTCTCTTAAGTCTTTCCCTTTCTTTCTTATCCATTTCTTCTCTCTTAAGTCTTTCTTGTTCTTTCCTCTCCATTTCTTCTCTCTTAAGTCTTTCTTGTTCTTTCCTCTCCATTTCTTCTCTCTGTAGTCTCTCCCTTTCTTTCATCTCCATTTCTTCTCTCTTAAGTCTTTCTTGTTCTTTCCTCTCTATTTCTTCTCTCTGTAGTCTCTCCCTTTCTTTTCTCCCCATTTCTTCTCTCTTTTGTCTTTCTTGTTCTTTCCTCTCAATTTCTTTTCTCTGTAGTCTCTCCCTTTCTTTCTTCTCCATTTCTTCTCTCTGTAGTCTCTCCCTTTCTTTCTTCTCCATTTCTTCTCCCTTAAGTTTTTCTTGTTCTTTCCTCTCCATTTCTTCTCTCTGTAGTCTGTCCCTTTCTTTCCTCTCCATTTCTTCTCTCTGTAGTCTGTCCCTTTCTTTCCTCTCCATTTCTCCTCTCTGTAGTCTCTTCCTTTCCTTCTTCTCCATTTCTTCGCTCTTTAGTCTTCCATTTTCTTTCTTTTCTGCCTCTTCTTTCTCCAACCTTTCTCTTTCTTTCTTCTCTGTCTCCTCTCTCTTCAATCTTTCTAGTTTCTCCACTTCTTCTATCTTTAGTCTTTCCCTGTTGTTTATCTTTACGTCTTCTCTTGTTAATATTTCCCATTGTTTCGTCTCTACCTCCTTCTCTTTCAAACTTTCTGTTCCATTCTTCTCTGACGCTATCCTTCTCAGCTTTTCTATCTCTTCCTTCTTGGTTTTGTCCATTTCTTGTTTCTGCGTTTCCTTTTTTTCTGCCTCGATCATTCTTATTGTATTACTTTCTCTCTTCTCTCCATCTTTTTTCTTCAGTGGTTCTTTTGCTATCATATCTTTCTCTCCTCTCACTGGTATTTCTTTTTCTAGGCTCTTTGCCTCTTCTTTCCCCATATTTTCCCTTTCAGCATTTATACATTTTTCCATTCCCTCTCTTTCTTGTCTTTCCATCGCCTGTTCTCTCTCCTTCTCTTGTTCACTGGCTGCCAGTCGCAGACTGGCTACCAAGCTCAGTCCACGTCTGGTGGCTTCTGGTTCATGAACCGATGTATTCTTGGGGACCTCCTCTTTAACAACCACCTGACCTTCTGCTGCGTCAGAAAAACCCACTGGAGGTAAAATGTCTACATCAACAGAGCTTGGTGGCTCATTATCTGGTTCAGTAATGCACAGCGCTTCTCTTTCTACTTCTTGTAGACATAGTTGTTCAGCACTATTTTTTAGTGGCCATTGTTTATCTGCTGAAGTCTCCTGACTGGCACCATCTGATCCCGATGTGAGCAGCATGGAGGCCATTGTCTCATAGCTAAGAAGCAAAACAGGACAAACAGGAAAACTGTGAGACAGAGCTCACCCCGAAATGACCCAGCAGCATGACCACAGTTGAACTACTGACAAAGAACCAGCTGAACGCCATGCTTGATTTGCTTCCTTAGCAGACTTTGTTTTGGTGCACATCCAAGAAATTGCTCAAAGTAACCAAAGAAAATAGCTAGTTCCCTCTATTCAAACTCTAAATAGAAAGAACCACTATTTTCTTTCTTGTATAAATCATACTGGCACCGCATGATTCATACAAGTGAAATACCTCGTAAACAACGTTGAAACTCTCAAAATCAAGGGTAGATTACTAGATATGCAAATAAAAATTAGTAAAATGGCAAATGTTTTGAGCAGAACAACAAAGTGAATGCTAACAGCAAAACCAATACACCAAAAACATCAAGATCACCACATAAAATTTGCACACTACACATTATAGACTGGTAAATCTGGAGGTTTTCTGTTGTAGGTTTGAGAAACCATGAGGAATATTTTAGCATAAATATGAACAGATTTTTCCAAAACATCCCAATTGGTATTAGTCAGTTTGTTTTTAATGTTTGATTGGAGCACAGTCTTTGTTTGTTTTTTGCCTTTTTTGCTACAGTCAGTAAAGCAAATGTTAATGCCATTAGGCTGCTGTTTTTTATCATCTGTCAAAGTTTGGTCTTTGCTGAGGCTTATGCATTTTTCCCCCCAGCCAAACATGTTCAAAATAAGACTATTTAAAAGGAAACCTGCATCTGGCAACATGGCACAGCATTACACACTACACAGTCTAAAGAGGAAAAAACCAAAACACTAAAAGTGTCAGAAAAAAATGACTCACTAAACAAAACAGAAACTTAAGATTTGAATTACTTATTAAAGAGACCCAACTAGGTGAAAGGACTGAACTCATAAAGCATGTTTTAAGTCTTACTGACCAGTCAAAGTGCTTTATAATATCACTACATTAACCCAATTTCTCTCTTAAATATGCACAGATTCATACACCAACATGCAGACCGGTGAGCAACTTGGTATGTACATGCCTTGTTGATGAATCGGTATATGAAAAGAGGAAGCAGGAATTGCCCAAAAAACTCTCAGATTGCAAGATGACTACCCTTCTCATAATTTCCCTTTAGAAAAGGCCTCAAACTCCATAGTGTTTAGTTCAAGCTTCCTACTATCTGCTATCAGCAGGAATATCTGCACAAGTGTAGAAATTAGTTTTCTTATACATGCATCAAGTGTTTAAAAACATGGCTGCTACACATTGCATCCTGTGATAGCAGGGATAGGTGCTTTTTTTTTCTAAAAAAAAAAAAAAGGGAGAAAAAAAAAAAGAGCACCAAAACAATGCCGCATCCCAGAATGCACTGAGCGGCAGCCATGTTTTTGAAAATCTTGATGCTTGTATAAAAGCCAATTTAGATATTTTTATATCTGGCATTTTATACCCCTTGCTGACACTTAAAATAACTTACTTTGACTTATTTTTTATTTAGCAATATTCACACCAAGGAATGTTATTGCGAGCTTCAATCAGAAACAGTACATTCGCTGAGCAGAAAATGGGTATTTCAGCCTTTCAGGACAGCACTTGGGGCAGTTTAAGCTCAAAATCTTCATTTATACACATTAAGGGTTCTAACAGTAGCCAATAGAAATGTTGTTAGGAGACCTTAAAGCACATTAGGGAGCTATAATAATTATGATTTAGAGCTCTCTGCTCCCAATGTTTAGCACTGAAAACAAAATTTCAGAAAAATGATTGCCTGTAAAGTTACATTCTAATCAGATTTGATGCTGTTTTCATTTTGTTTCTATAAACTACCTCATAACCAGTTGGGTTCATTCATGCAGAAATTTATAAAAAAAGAAAAATATTTCAATGACTAATGTTATATTAGTCTGCAAAAATCAGCATTCAGCAGAGCACCTGAACAGGTAATCTGACCACAGCAGCAGGCAGACTCACCCTCTGTGCAAAACCCCAAACATTGCTGACATGAAGCCAGCAGATGTCTCATTCTGTTCCTCTGCAACACACACATCTCCCTCTGCCCATTTCAGGGCGCTAACACACACACACACAGAAAAAAAACATACACACATTTATTTAACTATAAAGCTCAGATAAAATTCCTTCCGTTTGAAAGAGGAGCTTAAATGGGGTTAGTTGTAGCCACTGATTGCTGTGGTTAGACTGCAGCACATTGGAATGATGTTAGTAAAGGTTTAGGTTTGTGTCTGGAAGGTATGCAACCATTACTGACTCACCCCCCTACTACACCCTCCTCCTGCTCCTTCGCTGCAGGACTTTCAGTACTTTCCGACTCTCTATGCGCCCCTGCTTCCGCTGTGGTCTCCTCCACAGCTGCCCAAAGTTTGTTCACTTCACGGCTCTCCGGCTCCTCTGTGATCACAAGGCTTTCTCCATCAACAGCTTCAGCTTGCTTCTTTTCGCCATCTCCTTCCTGTTGCAGTTTACATGAAAGCTTGAGGTCTTGCCCCTGCTCTCGTTTCGGTTTTGCCGGCAACACATCTGTCTTCTCTCCAGCTGATTTTTGGGAAGGCTCAGGGGAGATTGCTGGTTGCACAGTGGGTCTTTCAGGCTCCTTTGGCTCATCTGAGGCTAATTGTGAGCTTGTTGTTGGTGATTCTGAATAATTTGCTGGTTGGAGCTTCTCTGATTCCCCCTTGGTAGATTCTTCTGAAGGTGAACTGCAAAAAAAGTCAGATTAATGTTAATTCATGGCTTCTCTAAACACATTTATTTTTATTATTCAAAGTTATGCTTTAGAAAAACAGAAGCATGGAAAGGAGGATAAATCAGAGAAGCAAGCACAAAGCTGTCCCCCCGTCATCCATCCTTACCCTCTGCAACAAGGTTTTGCACCCATCTTGGCAGATATTTGAACAGTTGTATCAGTTAAATTTCTCCCCTCTAACACTTTCCAAAGAGGAGTCTCTGCATCTGACAGCCTCTGTGGAGACGGTGCTAAGGTCAAGACCTCTAATTTCAGTGTTTTATTCAGGTCAACAGTAGAGCCTGAATGAATATCAGATGGAGAATGACAGGAGTCGGATCGTTCCTTTTCTGGGGTGTCACTGTTTGATATGGAGCGTTCCTCTATGACAGAGGGCTTCTTCAGACTGTAGTAAGAAGGGAAAATAAGGAAAACAAATAAGAAAATAAAGAGAAACAGACAGAAACATGTTGAGGGTTTAAGAGCACACATAGATCAGACAGTGGGAAATTAGGAAGCGAAGCAGAATTTGATGCAACTAACAACTGGGGTGGGATGACTAAAGATATTTCATTATCAGACGGAGGAATCTAAGAAGCTGGGATGAACAAAAAAATCGTTATGGATCCATATTTAACTTGTATCGCTCTCTGTTATTCTGCACATTATATCTGTGTTTAATACAGGACTTTTTTGTGGGGAAAAAATTATATCTATATATTTTTTCACAAGTGTAAAAAGTATTCACATGGGGGGAGGGGGCATGTTTTAATAAAATAGGATGTGTAATGTAGCATGTTTTTAAGTAAGTATTCAGCATATTCGTAAGGCTCAAGGGGTTCTTAGGCCAGGCTATGATGAAATTGGAATGGAGAAAAAAATCAGCAGTGTTGTTTGCAAACAATCTGTATGTTTTAATCTGTAAAATGTTAGAAAAGATAAAATAAAAAAAGAAAAGATTATTTTAAACTTTGAGCAATATTATGAACCAAAGAGAGAGTATAACTTTGAAATTACATGGCACAATTGTATAACATTTATTCAATGTGATTTTTTTTTTAAATGTTATGATATTCATTTCCCTTCTTTAATTCTGAATTCCTGAGCTATCTTTATAGTTATGCTGCTATAGGCTTAGACTTCTGGAAGACTTATAGGGACCCCCATTTCATCATTCTATCTCTATTCTCCCACTCTGCAGAATCTGTTCATTATCAATCTGTAATCTTATGCTCTCTATGCTTTTTCTATTATAGTAGCCTTGCCTTGTCTCTTCCTGTTTGGCTGTTACTCTATCTAGGAGAAAAATATCAGCTGTGCTGCTGCCATCATCACCCTTGTTTATAGATGTTGGAGATTGGCCTGTTTTTCCAGTGTAGTCCTGTTTCTCCAACTGTGACTGGCTGGACGTGCTCTCTTCATCCTCTGACATGGGAGCTGGCTCAGAGCTCGTCTGCCTGGCTGTGTGTTTCCTGGACGGGGCCGCCTTTTGCAGCTGCTTTTTGTAGCTCTGCTTCTGTCTCCTTGAACCCCAGTTGGCCTCGGCAGATGGCCGCTCACACTGAGCCTGGTTCTGCTGGAGGTTTCTTCCTGTTAAAAGGGAGTTTTTCTTCTCCACTGTTGCTACAAGCATGCTTAGTGTGAGGGATTGCAGAAGAGTCAATGAGGTGACCACAGCACCTCATTGACTCCTTGATGTTACATGTTGTGCATTGGCACTACATAAATAAACTGAAGCCCTAAGCTTCCACTTAGGGCTTCTTTGGGGGAAATGTAGGGCTTAGATAATAAAAAACAGAAAGTTCAGAGGAGACAGAGTTTTTTCAGCTGCTGCTCCAAAATGGTGGAATAAGCTTTAATCCTATTTACTATTGTTAAAAATCGGCTTCAAACCTATTTTTATTATTTGGCTTTTAATACAGCATAAGACTCTCTCTTTGTTTGCATTAACATGTTTTTTTTATATTTTTTCTATGGTTTTATTCGTTTTAATTAGTTTGTTCTATCTGTTTTATTTGTTTAAACGTCTATGTAGATTTTTATTATTTAAATTTTACTTGGTAAGTACAGCACTTTTTGGCAGTTATGGTTGTTTTTGTGTTGAGGAAAAAAACTAAAAAGATTTTAATTTGTAGCTAACCACAGAGCTCAGCTCATCAGCACAGAACAAACACAACACTTATGGGAAATATCTGAAACATGGAATAAATCAGCTCAAAATCATTGAAGGAGAGCAGATCAGATGATTTGTTTGCTCATAAATCAATATATTGTATATTTAGCATAGAAACAGGCAGGAACAAAGCAGGATACACCAAAGGTTATATCTTTGCATCATTACTGTAACTTACCGCTCATCAATAGTAGAGTTTGGTTCAGTGAATTTCTTTCCATCTTCTGCCCGGATGCAAAGCAGCTGCAGAGGCTGTTTGGGTGTAAGACTGGTTTTGACCAGAGGAGGGAGCTGTGTAGGAGGAAGCTGGGTTTGTGTTTCACCTTTAATGACTGTGTGTGATTGTTTGACATCAGGAGGAGAGAATAATTTCATCTTCTCCTTGTCCTCATCTGACTTGTTCTCCTCCACAATGCTCAGCAAAGTTGCTCTCTCCTCTTCCTTCTTTCTGATCTCCATCTCCTCCTTCTGCTGCAAAAGCTTCTTTTGTTCTTCGTTCCTCTTCCTTTCCTCCTCTTCTTTCTCCTCTTTGATTTTCTTCTCCGCTTCCTGCCTCTTCTGCTCCTCTTGCAACCGTCTCTGCTGTTCTTCTCTCTTCTTTCTTTCTTCTGCATCCTTCTGCATCCTTTCCTTCTCCCTCTGCTCTAATAAAAGCCTCTCCTTCCTCCTATCCTCCTCTTCACGTCTTTTCTTCTCTTCCTGATTCTTTCTCTCAGTTCTTTCTCTCTCTTCTTGTAAAGCTCTTTCCTTTTCTTCTTGTTCCTTCTTTCTTTTGTCGTCTGCCTCGTTGACCCTTTTCTCCTCCTCCTCCCTTTTTCTCTCTTCCAGATCTTTGATTTTCTTCTCTTCTTCTCTTCTCTTCATCTCATCATTCAACCTCTTTTTCTCTTCCTCCTCCTTCTTCCTCTTATCCTCTTTCCGTCTCCCCTCCTCGTTTCTTTTTTTCTCTTCCTCTGCCTTCTGTTTCTTTCTTTTCTCCTCCTCCTTTATGTTCTGTTGTTCCCTCTCTTTTGCCTCTCTCAGAAGTCTTTCCTCCATTTTCCTCCTCTCTTCCATCTGCAGAAGTTTTATTTTCTCCTCCTCCCGCTTCTTTCTTTGCTCCTCTAATTGTTTCTCCTCTTCTTTCATCTTCTTCAGGAATTGTTCTCTCTCCTGTTGTTTCTGTGCTTCTGTCCCCAGGAGCATCCTCTCCTGTTCTTTTCTTCTCTGCTCCTCTTCCTCCCTAATTTTCTCCTGTTTATCCCTCTTCTCCTTCAGGAGTCTGGCCTCTTCTAGTTTCATCCTCTCCTTCTCCCTCTTTTCATCCTCTTCCTCCTGTAGAATTCTCCTCTTCTCCTCTTCAAGCACCCTTTTCCTCTCTTCCTCATGCTTTTGCATTTCCTCCTTTTGCTTCAGGTGCGCCTTATTTTGCTCTGCCTCTTTCCGGCTCTGCTCCTCTTCTTTTTTCTGGATATCTGATCGTTTCTGGTGCTCCGTCAGTACGGACGCTCCCTCTAACTGTTCTGTTTGGGATGTCTTTTCATTTGCTTTATTTTCAAGACTGCAGAACAGATAAATAAAAAGGCTTAACCTTTGTATCTTCTTTGTCAGTATACTTTGCAGTCTTATTTCATGGTGCATTTTAAAAGCATTCCTACTCCTAAACTTGTTCACATTTCTTTCATGTTACAGCTACAAACTTTGAAGTACTTCATTGGGATTTCATGTAACAGAGAAACACAAAATTAAAAGGAAAAATACTATTTTATTTCTAATTCTGATGGTTTTTAACATACTTTACAAATACAAATCTAGAAAGTGTGCGGTAAATTGGCAGTCAGGCCCCCTGACTCCAGACCAGGACCACATCTTGCTGCAGTTATAGAGGCCAGACAGAGCTGGGGAAAAAAAGAGTCAATTTCGTTCCTCTGTTTTCTATCAAATCTCCTATGCCCCTGAAGGTGAAATCTTTTTACCAATTAAATTATTTAGGTATGCAATTCACCTCACAAAGTATCGTTTTCTTCCATTTATCAATTATTCAGGTCTTTGTGTTGGTCTTCCACATAAAAACATCAGTGAAACACAATTAACCTGTTTTTTTTTTACATACATACATATATATATATATATATATATATATATATATATATATATATATATATATATATATATATATATATATATATATATATATATATATATATATATATATAAAATGTGAACAAATGGTAAAAATAGTGAATGCTTTTGCAAAGGCACTTTCTACTCATTTTGTGACTTTGATCTTGCCATTAAGATTCAACAAAACTCACCCTGGAGGACACCTTTTGATAGTATCACACCTAAAGTCATCTTCTTCCAGAAACAATCCCCCCGATTTCTGCCTCTGGTTAAGGGACCGGTTAAAAACGTCTTCATTGAAAACCTCAGGTTTTGTTGGGGAAATGTTTTTTTCGCTCGTAACTCCCTCGCTTAACTTTTTCAGTTCAGATTTTCCCTCAACATTCAGCTGCTTAGGTGTGATAAATGCAGCTACGACAGAGGTGGATGGCTGCTCAGGGGCGGAGCTCTCACTGCAGGAAAAAGGCCAGGGAGGTGGCGGGGCTATGATCAGCTCTGAGCAGGGCTGAGCAGGACTGAGGACAGAGATATAAGCAGTCAGACTTAAAGGAGACAAACTGCAGAGCCGTGGGTTATCTTAAAATGAGGGGGCAACAGGAAGCAAAGTGCAGAGGTTAACTCATGTTAGCATCGTGGAAGTTCCAAAGTCAGACGTACAAAGCAACATGACATGTCAATGAGCAGCAGACAGACAATTCTCAGAAGCCTTGATTCATATCAGTGAGATGAATCACTCAGGTTGGTTAGCTTGGAGCCATTTGGATCATTGTGGGTGCTGGTAAAGTAAGGTAAACTTGTTCTAACCTGTTAATACTCAGTCATTAGTCCGTATACAAAACATCAAAACTATGAATATTACTGTGAAAGAAGGAGGGCTTCACTAAGCTATGAAAAGTAGCTGTTAGTTTGTTTGTCTGACTCTGAATCTCAGTTCAGTTGGGTTTTACACAAACAGATCAACAGTCAACTTGGAAAATAGTTTTGGCAAAGAAAAAAAAAAAAATCTGTTTTTGAGGGCTGAGATGATTTGTCTGTGGTTTTAGTGCTAACGGCTGTCTTAGCTCTTTCACACCCAAAGATGACAAAGATAAACATCAATCAGCTTCAGAAATGTTTTGTAAAACCCTGCCCTGTTTCCGTTTACAGAATAAATGCCTTTCAATAATCTATTCTTACATGTAAAAATAAATCCTAACACAGGTACAATATCTACATAAAATCCTAATTAATGACAACAATAATTCCTACTGCAACTGAATTAAATGACATATTTATTACTATGATAATACATTTTTATTGTTTCCTTAATCTGATTCAGAGATTTAAGATAAGAATGATAAAAAAAAAAATGTAGTTTGTAACTGAGTAACATTTAAAAATCTTGGTTTACCTTTATGTTTTTGGTTTTAAAGATGATCAATGGATTCCCTCTGAACACAATTTTTGGGAGAACATCTGGTAATTAGACATATCTAAAGCTAAAGTTCTGTAGCATGTGTTCATCTAGCATTAAGACCTACAGACAAGTCAGCCAGTGGATTTCCTCCTTTTCCATCCAAGGATCATGAATAAGTTTGACTTTGAATAAGAAGACTGGAAACACATGAGATGAAGCACACGTCAAACCCTTTCGGTGAGTTAAAATATCACAACTTCAAATATTAGGAAAATATTGACAGAAAGGATGCTAGTTTCAAAATCTGATTTTATTTTAATAACAATTTCTCTACTAAATTTTAAGTTAATTATATATATATATTAAATCATATATAGATATAAATCATATATTTTTGCTAGCGAACCAATCATGTGTTGTTTTGAATCCTCAAGTGCAGAGAAAATCATTCTAACTTGTCTCACGTTGAATTTTAAACCTGCTCATTGAGCCAAATGTGATCTAACCACAGAAAACCGAGCAACGTCCCATCAGACACCAGACCTTTATGATGGTAAACAGTTTGCATACAACAAAAACACTCACTGCACATGCAGGGATACTAAATTTGACTAGAGTGCTCAACACCTGTACAAACCATTATTTCAATGTTGATTTCAGCTCCAAATGATAGAAGAAAATAAAAACTACCAATTATAATTTCATTAATTTTCTTTCCGTTCAGCAAATGAATGTTCTCTTAAATTCAGTTTAACATGTGCAGTGTTTTTCCTAAACTAAATATAGATAATGTAAAATAATCTTTATTTAAGGAAAACAGGCCATTGGTAGAAGTTTCCTATCACAAACCCAGCCAACAATGTAAGTCAGTGAATTAGCCTTTTGTTTCCTCTTAAACAGTCAGCTGTTTTTTTTGCATGGTCATGCAGCATTGCCCAAAACACATTTAAAGCCACTGAAGAGATTCTTTTCTGCAAGATTTAAGCCTGTTTGTGGTTGCAATGACATGGATGATTGAAAATGTACACAGGCATCAACAAGTTTGACAAGTCTGGCCAAGCAGACCCATCCCATCACAGAATTTAGGGTAAAATATATTTTCTTTTGTAAATAGTGCCTGTAGGATTGGAGGTACATGAAAGATTGTTACAATTACAGTAAAGAAATAAATATTTCTTCACTGTAATTATAAATCACTGTTTTATGAAGGGGGAGTGGCGGCCTAGTGGTAAGGGCATAGAGCTTGGAACCCTGAGGTTATGAGTCAAAACAAGCTCCCACAGGCTGCCACTCTGGGTCTCTGAGCAAGACCCTTGACCCCTGATTGCTCCCTTGGCGCCCCACGATGGCAGCCTACTGCTCCCCAAGGGGGTGGGTTAAATGTAGAGGTACATTTATCCAATGTGAGATCATTAAAGTTACCGTAATTTTCGGACTATAAGCCGCGACTTTTCCCCCATTTTTCGACCATTTTTTCGACCTTGCGGCTAATATAACAATGCGGCTTATCTATGGACTTTTACAGCTAACAGCCGCTAGGGTAATACCTAAATTTATGGATTTTACCATCCACCATGTTGACGTCACATTTGCTTCAACACACAAGTAAGGTAGCCGCGCGCACGGGAATGCGGAGGTCCTCCGGAAGCAGACTTCTAACGCGAGTGGTACGAGACGCTAGACGGTTTGTGTGACGTCCTCATTATGTAAAACAAACGTACCAGTAGAAATAATAAATAGGAGCTTCCCCAAACAGTTGCCTCCTTCCGGACAATCCTCTCTGTGCACGAACCATATGGTAATTAAACATAAAAAACCTGCGGCTTATAGTTCGGTGCGGCTTGTATATGTACAAATCATGCAATTCAGCTTCTGCGGCTTTATGTCCGAAAATTACGGTAACTTATTTTTGTTATGAAGGTAATCAAGAGGGAGTATAAACTATGTACAAAAAAAAAATTCCAAAGAAAACAACCTATTTCCAGTTTTCCCACATATGTAACCTTCCAGATTATTTACACCAACTAGACACTTTCATGACCACAAGTTTACATGGAATGTATTCAGAGTTTTGTTAACAGACCAACAAAACACTATATAGTTGAGAAAAGGAAGAAAGAATTAATGTCTGTTAGGAATAAATGGCATGAAATCATCCCTCTTGACTATCTTACCCCAAATAAAATCTTATAGGTTTGTTAGAGAAAGAGCATCACAATACCAAGAAAAAGAGCAGACAGGCCAGGGATGAAGTTGTAGAGAATTTTAAAGCACACTTAAGATTATAGGAGACCTGAAGTTTTGAACACAAAGCTCCTTTTCCCCTCATCCTCAAATACACAACTACAAATCTACCAAGAGGAAACATTAAAGCCATGTTAGGAGAGCGTTAAACAATAAAGCAGTCAAGATGTCCACAGTAACTTTGAAGAAGCTGCAGATTTACAACCAAGGTGCAACAGTGGGTTGAAAGGGTAAATGTTGACTGCGCACCTCACAGATCTGACTTTTATGGAGGAGTAGTGAGACAGTTGACATGTTGAAACGAAGACATTAAAAGTTACATTCACAGTTTTCTTAAATCCTTACTGGGAAAACAGCAAACATCTGGAATCTATTAGAATCTGTGGAAGTTCTGCATTCATTCAATCCAAACTTTCGTCCTCTTCTAAGTAAAATTCTGTCATTAGATTTCAAAAACTGGTAAATATTAAAAATAAAAATGGCTGTAAACACTTGGTAAAGTTTTAAAACCCCGCATATAAATTTTCTTGCATTTCACAACTACGCACTAATTGGTGGTAGTCTGCCACATAAAATGTAAACAACTAACAGTGAAATCTGATATTAGAAATACTTTAGCAAGGCATTGCATTTTCATTTTATCTTAATACAACACAAGAAAAATTATCTATTCCTTTCTTTCTTTATAAGATCTGTTTAGTTAGCCGTTTTTGCCCCTTTCGCTAATAGTACTTGTGTCTAAAGGGACTAAATCGAGATTTGGAATGAAACTCTGGACTCACCTGATCTTTCCAGCTTTGCTCTCTGTAATAATCAGCTTTGACTGATCTGATGTTTTTCTGTTTATTTCTGCCTGGAAACTTGTAGGCGAGGTTTTGTCTTGGCTCGTTGGGCTTAAAGTCGTCTCTTTATCCACCTGATGGACAGGGAGTGATGAGCCTGTTAGAAGAAACCACAAGGAAAAAAACATTGAAGTCAGAAAAAAAGGATTTGGTCCAGATTCAGCATTTAGGAGATAATTATGAACACATGAAGGAGAATGTTTGATTAGGAAGCAGATGTACCTGTCTGACTAGAGAGGACTGGAGCAGAAGGTTGAATGAAAGTGAGAGAGGATGAGAAATAAGATGAGGAGGGAAGAAGCGTGGAAGAACGAGCTGGAATCTCTGGGTCACAGAGAGAATCCAGATCTGGACTAGTCAGCAGAGGCACGGGGCTGATGTTTTCAGTGGTTGCAGGGGGGCCGGAAAGAGGCCAAATGTCCTTAGTAACTAATGGAAATGGAGAGGAAGGATAGAAAGGAAAACAGGAAACAGAAAGAAAACTTACATGAAAAGTAGGAGGCAGGAAATGTGGGAGTAACGATCAAACCCAGTTATTACCTGACTCTGAGCCAGAGGGGGGGCATTTGGGGAGAGATGATAATGATGATGATGAGGAGGAAAGTGGAGAAGATATAGGTGTGGGAGAGGTGGGGCGAGTGATAGACTTCACAACCTGGGGTCTGAAAACATGGGACTGGCCTGATGTGCAGGGGAGGCGAGAGGAGTGATGAGAAGTTATAGGAACCAACTGGATAAGCAACACGTTGGTTAAAGAGTGAAAAAAGAGACACACCGTTAAACTCATCTGCACTCTGAACCTCTTGGGGTCGCTGCTGATGCTTTATAGGAGCTTAAAGGAGAATGGAAAGAGAAGCAGTTAGAAGAGAAAAAAATAAAATAGAGACAAAGAGAAAAAAAAGAACCTGTTGAAGACAAGCATGCAGTTTAGAAACCACGACACACTATGATTAAAACATGTGCATTTCTTGTTTATTTTCTGCTTTAGAAAACCCGTTCCACTTGTCTATTAGGTTTGCAGTGTTATTTGGAAGTAGGAATGATTCCCTTATTACTTCTTTGTGTAATTTGGCTTAAAAAAATCAGAATCTTAAAATATATCTCACAGCGTACCATCAAGTCAAAACAAGAGCCCGTGTCTTTTTCTTTCACTTTCCTCTGCTGAGTTTGCAAACTTCCTGATCTGATGCTGCAAGAGTAAGGCATTTTCCATCCAGAAGCTATAATTTGAAACATGATCATCTGATCTCTACAGGTTAAAAGCTACCAATATGGTCTTTAAAACGAAACTTCTCAAAGTTTAGATCTTGCTTGAAACATTTCAATGTTTGTAGTATTTTTCCTTTGAGGTTGACGGATCTTTGTAATTACAGTGCAAGTCAAAAATATTTACCCGACTTTAACTATTTTGCATCTTTTAATCAAAGGCATCTGTATATTTTATTGCATCTACATGACAGAGAAAAGCCAAAGTAATGCATAGTATCTAAGATCTTTTTACTTTGATTCTAATAAATAAAATCCACTGCAATCAATGGCTTGAGATATAACCTTATTTGGTATCATTAATTCTCAGTGTAAACAAGGTTTGTTAGCAAACGTTTTTGTATGACCAGCATTATGAGGACCAGGGAACTCCACACACACAGATGGAGAAGCAGCCATGAGGTATGTGATAACTGGAGGAGCTGCATGGATATACAGCTCGGGTTGGAAAACATGTTGACATTATAACTAAACAATCTGCCTTTATGGAAGTGCAGAAAAAAAAATGTTCTGTTTGCAATCTGCCAAAATCCATTTAAAATAAAAAGGTTCTCTGGTCATATGAGACCAAAATGGAAGTGTGTGGCCCTCGTTTTAACCTCTAAACATCCACCTCTTTTTGGGAAATTCTCGCCTGTTTTGCATACCCAAATGGAAAAGCAAATAACTTAGGAACTGTAAGCACAAATTACATGTGTGACGCATTATTTGAAAGCTAACACCTTCTAGTTTCTGAATATATACATGAAAATTGGGTGAGTAAAACACCCTAGCTGCATCAAGCCCAAGCTGCATCAGTTCAAACAAGACTCAAAGTTGTTTTTTTGTTCTCAAAGATAATAGGTCTTTTTTGAACAGCAGTAATAAAGACATGCTTGCTTGCTGTGGCTGCTTTGTCATCTTTACATTTTGACATGCAGCTATATCTGTGTTTATTGTGCTTTGGTGCTCGCTGTGTCCATAAAATGAACTTGGTGGTTGATTTGTGGAGAATCTGAGCTTTCCAAAGATGTCTAACATGTCTATATTGGTAAACAGTTTACCTGTCTAATTTTCATGCATTCTAAGTTATTATTTCTAAACCTTTTAAAACAGGTTAGACCCGGTGGGTTTTGAGAGGTTAAACACTAATTATGGTGGAAAACAACACTGAGCATCATCTTTAAAATGTAATCTCCTCAGTTTAACATGGCCAAGGCAGTATTATGCTATGTGGAAGCTTTTTCTACAGTAATGATGGGGAAGCTAATCAATGGATGGAGCTTCATACAGGGAGAACTTGGAGGAAAACATGAGAAGTTGTAAAAGATTTAGGGTTGATTTGAAGGTTCATTATCCGGGAGGATACTGGCCATAAATATACTGACAGACTGCCATTGGAATGGTTCAGATCCAGCACATTAACATGTTAGAAGCCAAAGTATAAATCCAATTAAAGATGTAAGGCAGGAAATGAAACTGGACGTAAATAGGCACTTTGACTCTATGGATGAAACTTATACAAGATGGCGCTGCGCAGGCAGCAGCCGGTCACATCGGCTCCTACTTTTCTTTTCCTTCTTTCTATTTTTTTATCTTCTTAATACACCTTTTTCCTCCTTGTTTGCACCTTCTTTATTACTATGCCAATATGTAACGAGTGAATTTCTCCGCTGTGAGATCAATAAAGCTCATCTATGGTAATCTAATCTAATCTAAACACGACATCGATGAGGAAACATTTAAATATTAAACTCCTCAAAATTTCATTCTGCATCATGCACAGTGCACACAAAGCCCAGTTAGTTCCAAGATATTTAGAAGAAGCACATTACACTAACAGAAATATTCAACTGAGAGTTTAAGCCAAGGCTGTATGTTGTCTCTCAGTATCTTTACCTGGGCCTGCCTGGAAGATTCTGGGCAGAGACGGGGGCTGAGAGAGCATCCGTGTAAGAGGAGGCTGAACAGACGGACTATCATTGGGTAGAGAGGGTGTTTGGGAGGAGGAAGGGAGCTTTGAGGCTGCGGAGGTTGGCTTATGGGTGGAAGTAGCCGATACAGCGAGAGATGTTGTTTGAGGAGACATGAATGAGGAGGTTATTGGGGGTTGAGGTGATAATGATGATGAAGGGGGAAGTATAAGGATCTCTGAGGACAGAGATGGAGGTGGATTAGGCGGCTCTGCAACTGTCTTTGCAGAATCTGGGGAAATCTTACAGGAAGATTTAGAGATTATTGGATCTTCTGCGAGAGCAGAAACGGAGGAGGCGCTCTGAACTGGAGGATGATCTGCTGAGGGAGGAGTTTCAGGAGGCCTGGTTACAGAGTCACTCACAGAAGCATCATGGAGGTTGGGGTTGGCTGTCTTTGGACGCTTACACCTTGGTGAAGGCTGAGGGGAGGGACCAGGGGAGGGCTGGATCTCAGACTGGACAGGAGTGGCTGAGAATGAATGTCGGGCACGTCGGGGGGAGGGACGGGGAGCAGTTGGCAGCGGAGGGCGAGAATGGAGAGTGGAAGGATCAACATCACGCCCACAGGCTGGTTTAATAGATGAAAAGGAAAGGTGATGAAAACAAGGGTGGGAGAAAGTTGAAACGACGAAACAAACACAGAAGCTATTGTTTACATTAAATAATGAAACAATGGTAGAATCACACAAAAGTCAGGAGTGATGCAGTCTTGTGATAGTCATCCTGTTATCACATGACTTAAAGTGAAACAAAAAAATGTTTGAAGATGTTATCAAACCATAAATCCTGATAAATCTAATAGCAAACTAAGCAGCTGCCCAGGTCTTCCACATCAGCAGGGGGCCACAGTGAGCCCTACAGCTTTCATATAAGTCCGATTTATAAATTCATCTGTGTTTTATAACTGAGACTTCACAACTTTCAATTTTCATAAACAAAAAGTCACTCATGAAATAAAATCAGACAGATTATAGAGTTAAAAAAAACATAACTTTTTGCCAAAAAAAAATTTAAAAAACAACTTAAGGTGTTTTAGTCAAAATATGACTTGGCTGGTCAGCTAAAAATACCACCTAACCTGTTCTCAACCATGTCAATAAAGTGGTTAGGTTAGATGAACAATCACCAAACACTGGCTTTATTACCTTTAATCACATGATGATAATTCCAATAATTTTAAACAAAAATAATGAAAAATAAAAAAATAAAATACAAAAAAGAAGAACCCTTAAAAGTAAAAAAGAAAAATATTTTTTACCAGAAAAAGAGTCAGTTGTAGTAAACTAACTGCTTTTTACAGAAGAGGATTAGGGCCACTGAAAAAAAAAAGTTAACTGATTTTTAAATTTTATTTCAGTTTAATATGGGAAAAAAGTCAGAATTCTGAATTTTTTCTCAGAATTCTGACTTTAATCTCAGAATTCTAACTTTTTTCTCAGAATTCTGACAGCTAACAAACATGTTAGCATCAAGCCATAACCATGTCTGTTTTAGAGACTAAACTAGCTCTCTTGTTTTAATGACCTTCTGCTCCTCCATTAATGAGAGGACCCCTCGGGCACGTAAAAAGTTGCCTAATTCCGTCATTTTTTTCCACCAATGTGTCACTGGCCACCTCAAACAACTCACATCTTTGTCAGTCAAGCTGAGTGCTCCCACATCTCTTCCTTCATGGTGCCCATCTACATTAAGATCAAAATTCTGAGATTAAAGTCAGAATTCTGAGAAAAAAGTCAGAATTCTGACTTTTTTCCCATGTTAAACTGAAATAAAATTAAAAAATCAGTTAACTTTTTTTTTTTCAGTGGCCCTAATCCTCTTCCGTAGCTTTTATATGCTGTTTGAAGGTTTCAGCAATTTATCTTTAGATTTGCAAAGGCCAACAGGGAGCTGTTTTTTATGTCTCTAAAGCTTTTTATCCTTATAGATGTATTATAGAACAGTGATGGTAAGAATCTGTTGTCTTCAGCGTTAAAGTGAGAAAGTATGTGGGTTTCAGCAGCAAGGCGAGCAACAGGACAGTGTGAAATACTGCAATACAGTCTGAGCGCTTTAGCAACAGATACAGACAGACAGTATTTTCGCACATGCCCCTTTTAACCTGCAAGAAAAAAATTAAGTAGGAAAAGCAAGAAGTGGGTACCTAAGGCTGAAAACGTGGCTCCAGAGGAAGTTTGTGTGTCAGGAGGAGGGGGAGCGGGACGGTTTGGTCGAATTAGAGTGTCTGGGACAGCTGCAGGAACCATTAATGCAATGAGCAGAGCAGAGGAGGAGAAAGAAAAACGGAGGAGGAGGAAAAGCGTGTTTCAGAGGTGTGATCAGAGGAAATAAATGAATAACAGAGAAAATCAAGATAAAATTGACCTACCTGCAGCGGAGACAGACCTTCGGTCCTCTTCTTCATCGCTCTCATTGAAGTCATCCAGGTTGCCTATATCAGTGGGTTTGACGCTCATGAGGCTGGCAAGGCTCTGCATGTCTTCATCCCTTAGTAACATATACAAAGCTTTATCACCACAATGTTCCAAATGGAAAGGCCACATTACTTTTGACATGGAATCATTATGTAGCTGCAATTATCCTAACATATTAACAACATGGTTTTTGTCTAACAAAACAAAGCAAACATGTATTTGCTCCAAGTTCTGGCTTTTGCTCTTGATGAACTAAAATAAAAACAGATAAAATGCAAACATTAAAAAACACAAACATTTATCTATGCAAAGTCTTCTCATAAGTATTAGGAAAAATCATAACCCTGGATTCTTACTACCATGGTTTTTATTAAAGATAAACTTTCCTAAGTGTTTCTGTACGTTTATTTTTCTGTTTTTTGGGGGTTATTTTTCTGTCTATAAAAATGTTTCATTCAAAATCTATTGGTTCCTAATGAGATTTTTTCCTTACCTGTCCAGAAAATAAGAAAAACCAGAGAACAGGCATAAAGTGACACAACACACAGGCGTTGATGTCCGTATAATAGAATATTTAAATCCCCCTTACAGAACCACTTAATTAAGATACATGCTGCCAACATGCCTTTTTCTGCAATAATGTTACAAATGCAAATAGCTGCAGTTTTGCTAAAAGCCACAAGGGCATTAATTGGAACTACGTGCTTTGATCACATTAGGCTAAGATTAAACAAAAACACTCAGACCGGTTAAGTATGAAACAAAGTATGATTGTAGGACTAAGGCGGTTATTCAGACTCCGGATCATGAAGAAGGATCTGTGATGCTGTGGGTCAGTTTCTTTACCTAAGGCTCCATAAACCTTGTTATTGGCATCATATTGAAATACCTGGACATTTGAAACAAACAAGTTGCCGGCCTCTGCTAAAAGCAAACTCCCTGCCATGTTGTCTTGGCCCACAAACTGAAATCTTTAAGAAAATCTTGGGGAAAAACTGAAGTGGAAAGAAAATTAGAGAGATCCTAGGATTTTTATATGCCTAACTTTTGAAACCTTTTATGCCAAAAGACTTTTTGTGGAAATGGAAAGCATTTAGAGAAGCAATTTCTTTTTTTAGTCCAAAATGAATGGATTTAAATGATGTTTTGTATTTTTATATAGGATCGACTACTTCTTTCAAAGATACTTTTATTTTACGGCTTTTTTTCAAAGTAGAATAGGGTGAACTAATTTTAAAAAAACTCACGTGGCTTTTCCTTCTCGAACAAAAACACATGAGAGTGACAGTTTGAGCTCAGCGTCCACCACTTTGACCGACAGTGGCTTCAGCTTTAGAGTCAGGTCGTGCTGCGTTGGAGTGGGGCTGGCAAAGCGCTTCAGGTTGATGTCAGCAGAAGCTAACACCTTACGGTGACCTTTGTTCTCCTGTGAACAATGAGTAGAAAAAATCATTACATTTGTTCTATACTTTCTATTTTTATCTAAGGCTCAAACTTATTGTGAAAGTTTTAGCTGTAAAAGTAAACCACAGTCTTGAGCTAAAATTGGATCTCCACACTTAAAGGTAGAGTGTGTAAGTATTACTGGGATTTACTGACATAAATGGTATATGGTCTCTACTTATTTTGTGCTTCTTTTTCCAAGTCAGGAAACTTGACCAAAGCAATTTACATTACATTCAGTCATTCACCCATTCACGCACAAACTCACACACTGATGGTGGCAAACTACATCGTAGCCACAGCTGCCTGGGGCTCACTGACAGAAGAGAGGCTGCCGTACACAGGCGCCACTGGGACCTCTGACCACCATCAGTTGGTAATGCGAGTGAAGTGTCTTGCCCAAGGACACAAATACGCTGAAAGCCGAATCTCCCTCACTTGAACCGTCAACCCTTCGATTTCAGGACAAACTCCTACACCCAACACCACTGTCGCCCCTTTATAAACTATATGTATATTACTTTTTATCATCTATGAACTGAAAGTCTCAGTGTTTATGTTTGCATTGCCTCAGAAATTGCTATTTCTAATTACATAGGAGTTGGTTCGCATTGGTGGAGGCAGACATCTTTTGTGCTACGGCAGAGCAGAGCTGACAAATTAGTGACTGTAGAGATAGCTATTACGCTTGAATGGGACTGTGGCAAGTTAGGCCTACATGTAATCCAAAACAGACTAATACAACACTATTTATAAAGTGATCTGTAGACATACATCAGCCACGACTGCCAACCGCCTGCTAATTATGAAGACAACCAATTACAAGAGGCGTTTTTTGAGTTTTTTGGAGAACAGAGGTAAGGGGAGACGGTGTTCCTGCACTTAGGCAGGAGCACTGGGGAATCAGCCGGAGAGAAAGCTCCACAACCAAGATGAATCCGCCAGCTATGCCGCCCTCTGTGGCTAAGGCTAGAGTGGCAGCTCAATGGGAACTGAGCGCTAAAGGCCCAGAAGAGGCTACAGCTGGGTCGGGCTAGCTAGAGGCTAACCACGGAGGGTCGAACGGCAGAATATCGGATTAGTCTGCTGGACAGATAGTGGGGGGTTACCATTGCTAAAAAATAACACAATGTAGCTTTAATTTCTTGAGATTTCTCCAGACTTTGGCAGGTTGATCTGCATTATCAGTTTAGGGATACATCCCTTTTAGAGGAATGTTCTTTTGCTTTTTTATTCAACAGGTTTACTACAGTATGAACTAAGCCAATCAGCCAGAATAAATGAACAGATGAACCCCTCTTGTGTACAAGAAGTAATGCAATTTAATAGAGAAAGGAATCCTGCTACAAACAGACAGTTTGTTCCCAGGTCTTTGCATAACTGTTTAAAAAAAACATTAAAGGAAAAAATATGTCAGTTTATATCTTGTTTTTCTGATTCTTTCCCTGACCACTACTAACCACTATTCTGACCTTCAAGTACACGTATCAGATACTGTATGCTGTCCTGGACAGGCACCAAGTGGGACTGATAAAAAGTGAAAATGCAGCTAAAGTCCTTTAAAGAAATATTGATTCGGATTAAGGTACTTAAAGGGCTACCAAACAAGGTTAAAGGTCGCTGAAACCCCTTTCAAAACTACAATGGAGACAATAATTTGAGTAAATTTGCAGGTTGAAAGGTAGAGCAATACTTACACCCTCGAGAACAAATGTCCATTCTTTGTCCTCAAACTCATCTGTGTTAGGTTCCTAAAACGAGGGACAAGAAAAATGTCATTAATGAAATATCCTCTCAGCATTGTACTCCTATTTCCTTTAAATCTAGTTTTCATTTTTATATGAATAAGCTAATTCCTCCTTTACTCTAATAGGAATTAAAAATGCAAACGTCATGTCATTCCAGCCGCTTTGATGCTTTTGTCACTAATCCATATCCCATCCCATTTTCAGGCAGAAAAAATGAGTCGGGGTATCTCAAACAAGGTAACCATGGCTGTATTGCATCCTTGCATCTTGGTTGCTAAGTAAAATGTATGCAAACCCAGAACTTTAAAGGTGTGCAGCCCAATTTAACACACTTCTGCTTTTTCTAATTATCTAAGTTAAAAATGCTAGTTCCCTTTTCACATGCAGCTCCTTAGCATGTTCAACAGCACTTGAACCTTTTGCATTTATAGAAAAAACTATATTTTAGTATTGTCAATTGCAATCTGGTTCAACGTGCAGCATCTCCTCCTTTACAACAAAGACTGAACTGAAGTTATAAAAAATCAGGTGAAGCCAAAGCTCTTTTTTCTGCAGCAAACATGACAAAATGACAATGTTACAGCATTGTTTGTGAAACAAACAATAGGTTCCTAGTTTAGCTGTAAAAAATAAAAAAGTCAACAAACAGATCAATTATAAACTTTAGATTGACAAACTATTACCTGGGTAAGCACACGGCAGACGGCCATTGTTATCAGATAGTTTTAAATTGTGTACCTTGAACAATGTAACAGAGATGTCGACGTTTTCTGGAACAGGCCAAATAACTGTTCCTCTGTAGGGGTTCTTTATCCCAGGCTGCCAACTGTGGAGCTGCACGGCAAAAAAAGTAAACATTAACACAATTGCACAGTTTCATGGCTGAACTCATCCTGTCCCTGATAAAAAAAAAAAAAGAAAATTAAATTTTTGCACATTTCTTTCTATTTTTAGCTCTTTGCTTTATAACAATTAGAGAGTAATACATTGATACATTCATAAAATAAGAAACAGCAATAAAACGAGACGGCAGATGTTATGTCTAGAGGGTATCTACAAGGTACTACTTTTTGAGGGGTCTGTGTGGCTCTTTGACACCAGTTTCTCTCAGTCAGATTGTATCCAAGGAATCTAAGCAACTGCTTAAATGGCAGAGGGAGTTGCAGTCATCACTGTTTCCATTAATTATTATGGTTTTACCCAAGATATGCTCCATAGCATCAGGCTATAGGTTTCAGAAGCAAGGTCGAAGAGTCTTTATTGTGATTATGTAACCATAATGAAATGTTGTTGAGATGTGCAGCTTAAAACACACATATATAATATTAACAGAAGAAAATAAAACAAAATTATAGACGAAAAAAAAGAAGAAAAACCTTAGAAGAAACACTCCTCAACAATCATAAGAACCACCTTTTTAAATTCTTCAAATAAGAACCATAAACATTTTTAGAAGTCAGGACATGCTTTGGAGAAAAACATGTACATAGAAACGTAGTATTGAGTTTTATAAACTGCAACTTGTTCAGAAGCAGTCAGTAAGCTGCTGGTTTAGTTGACTGGGTTTACCAGTTATGTAAATAATCAGATTTCAATCGATAAACAATATTTTTATACTTTTGGTCTACTCAAAGAGGTGGGCTAAACAGAGACCGCATTTCACATGTGCTGAGCTTGCACATTTTAGCTCCCTCTCGGCTGCTTTACTGATATATTGACTTCAATTATCAGCTTAAATTTGTTCTTTTTTTTACTGTCTGAAATTGATGACTGCATTTACATATGTTATTATTAGTTTACTTTTACTTCCACTAATGACAAAACACATTTCATAAGCGAGGAGTTTATTATTAGTTTACACATAAGACGTGTCACCCGTCTGCTAAGAGCCATGAGAGTATGCCATCTTGAAAGTACAGACGACAAGGGATAAAATGGTACAAACACATTGAATAATGTTACAATCACATCAGACGTGACTCAAGCAGCGGATTTAAAAGCAAAGTCTATTGTGGATGCACATAAAGACGCATCGGAGCAGCTGAAGCAGCGCCTTATCAGCTTCTGGGCATCTGAGGCGCATGAAGTGCATCACAAGCAGCTGCTGGAGTTGGAAACAATTAACATGTGCTTCACATACCACAGCAACCAATCAGAGAACCTGATCTGGGAGCTGGCAGGGAGACAGACACAGTGCTGCTGATGCAGATAGCTATGATCACTCCCCTGACAGTTCATTAACACCTAAGTTAACTTAAGATGTCGAAACCTGCTTGCAAAATATGATCGATTTTATTATCCTGGTGCCTGCATTTTGTACAACATACCTGAAAAATGCTAACATCTAATTGTCACTGCGACAAAAAGTCGGGGGAAATCCCCAAGAGGTGACTGGGTCTGAGGGAGCTGCCACTGGGGATTCCCAATGAAAGAGCATTGCCCGAAATGATGGGGTCTTTGAGGCAGCAAAATAATATGTTTCAAGATAGGATCATGATAATGATGAATCTGACTGCACAGACGATGTTTTCAGGTGGACATTCTTACTTAAAAACATATAAAAAATATTTTTTACCCACTTATCCAATGGCGTAAATATTGGTAAGCAGCGACAGCAGTTGCTTACGGGCCCACAACCTCTTTGGGGCTCCATCACTGTCACCTGGTGGGTTCCCTATTCAATTGTATACTCTACAGATGTAATGGTGCGAAAAATTCCTCTTAAACTCACCTGATACTGAAATGACTGACCGCACCTGACTGTATTTATTCCACAACACATGCCAGATTTCGGTGATGGTCAGCCGTTTAAACACGACACCAATAGTAGCTATAGTTACTATGTTAACAACTGTGTAAAGTTCATTAGTCGGTTGGTTAAAAAAAATAAACTAAAATAATATGTTTCAAACTCCAATAAAGATCTTTAAAAAAATTTATTTGACAATTTTATTTTTTAAACTACGACTTGGAATAATGGGTAGCCCAGAGCCTAGAATAAAAACATAACCATTACGTACAATGTGTTAGCTACGATGGATACCCAAAAGAGGTACTTAAGCGGATTCCAGAAAAGAAAAAGAAAAGAAGAGCTGCTGGAACAACAGAAAAAACGTTCCAACTTTCAAAGAACCGAAGAGGGAGAGCCATAAGCACTTGGGATGTCTGTAACATGTGGTGGTGACCTGTCACCAATTTTTCCATTCAAGGTGCACAGTCACTATCTTTCGGTGTGTGTTGTGTGATAATATACTACTGAGAATTGCATAATTGTATCTTCTTGGGCAATTTATGGAACTGTCGCCCTATCCTGAACCTTTATCACGTGTTGTACTTCCTATGGGGCCCACCCAGATAATGTTGCTTACTGGCCTATTGTTGCGTCGTTACACCATTGCACTTATCACAGCAAATATAGCAAAGTCAATCTCTGCCATTGAACTCAAGAGCAGCAGAAGCATCAAATGCATCTGGACAAACTTTACTGGAGTCTGACCTTAATGTGTACAAGCATCAAAAATGAAGAAGCAGGCGCCTTTTTGCTGCTGAGATTGCAATTGGTGTGAACATATCATTACATGCATTTCACCTTGCTGGTAATTAAGTGTGATTGGGAGGCGAGGTGAAGACACGTTGGAGACGTTGACCCAAAAATGAGCATCTGCACTACTGCAGCACATACAAGACATGCATATGCAGTAGCAGCACAAAAATTGGTTTCACCATCCTCATGTTTCTCATTACCATAGAAACATTAGAGTAGATTCATCAAACATATACCAATTTCATTGTTACAAAATTGTAGGTTTCCATGAGTTTCATAGCTTTAAAAGTTGTGGTGAACACAGTACTGTAAATGCCAGGTTGTAAAGACTTCACTTTACTTTAAATGACATTTACACCTGCATTGTTTTTGCTATCTGATGGCAACCATTTTCGCAATACACCTTTATGGCCATTATGTACTTGGGTTTAGTGTTTGTTTGTGAGAAATGCCCCCATTTTACTGCTAGATGACAAAAATTCTTGCACATTATCCCTTTAAATTTGAATTAATGATCAAATATTTCTCTACTAGCTCTGCTGTACACATATCTGTATTAAAAGATTCAAGGAAATAGCTGTTTAAAACAAACAAGAACCTCAATTAAGAGTGTTGATTTCAGTTTGCAAGGGTGGCTGTTTAAAATGGAAGTTAATACAAATCTTGTTTGCTTTTTTTACACACATGAATTCGTATCTATGAATGCAAAAAAAATGTTTCTACTTTTTTCTTTATTCAAACCAACAGATTCTGATTTACAAGTACAAAATATATATGATTGGAATTAGAGACCATGTTTTTTAAGGGATTTTAAACTGACAGTAGCACACTGTTGACTTAAATAGGTGTCTCACTGGCTGGAAATTTGTTTACTGGTACACTGAAGTTAGGATTTAGGCTAAGCATTTATTTTTTATCCTAAAAGGAGAATCCGACTGAGAATACAAACATGTGAATGACTCTGTGTGTTCACTGCTTCTTAGCTGTACCTTGGAGCACATGCGCCTGTTCCTCCTGGTCCACACCACTCTCAGCTTGTCTGGTTGCCTATAGAAACACAAAAAACACATGGAAATAAGACATTGCCTAATGTTATTACTCAGTAATTACCCCTATTACACACTCTGCTTAAAAGCAGGGTAAACAAGACCAAAACAGGGATGTGGGAAAAGATTTACAAGGAATTCAGATTATCTAAACAAAGTGGACTTCATGCTAAAATAAATACCACTGGGTTCAATACAAGTCTTATGACTGTCACTGCTAAGTATCACTGCCTGTGAGTCAAAGAAAAGACAGTGCTAGTGATATGAGAGTGTGTCCCTATGCAGATGGTGGTGAACACATGGCGACAAGTTCAATTTGTCTATCAGTATTTATAACCCAAGCAGCTGCTCAGCTGTTATTAGACTGAACAGGCTATGCATTCTTCTAGACGTCAGTGTTTCTAACATCTCATCATGTGCTCTCCCTGGTGCAGGAAGCGAGAAAGGAAGTCGCCCAGTCACGTGACAATAGAGAGAACTGTGCCTCATTACAGGAAGAAGGAACCCCCCACTGCACTCGTGCGGATGTCTAATCATCTAACATTGAAACACAATAATCAGTAAACTCTCTAAAACTCACTGGCAGCTCAGTAAAATAATTCAACCTACATTGGGCTTATGGCTCAGTGATGTTTACTGCTTTATTATGTCTTACCATTTGTGTACGAGCGTTTAAGTAAAGCTAAGAGTGCAGGTTTATGTAGCATATGTGTTAGTGGGCCAGTGTTGGCTTCGGAAATAATCTGGGGAGGCCCAGAGTGGGGGGTATTGGTAAAGGAAAATAGAAGGAGACTCTGAGACATGACACGACAGTGAGAGAAATCAAATCATAGATAGATTAGGCTGAGGTTTCCTGACAATCGTGCTGAAATTAAATTAAGTAATATTTTATTACTGAGATGACCACTCAGAAGATTACTGCCTGTTTCTTTATTTGTGTTTCTCAAGACCTTTGCTTGGTTGGTTGCCATATCTTTAAACAACATTTAACATCTGTTGACTGGTGGTAGAATTGCTTGCTTGTTTACACATTTACCAGCACGCAGACTAATGCTGCAATCAGTTCTAATATGTTTTCTTATTGTCTCCTCTTTCTTTTTTCAGCTTTCAAAATCTCTTTACAAAAACATGAGTCAGTGGAGGAGCAGTTGTATATCATCTGACATAAAAAAAACACAAAGACTACCATCCAAGTACATAGAGCAATATTAGTATGTATTCACCAAGAGAAAGCTTTTAGGCATCCCCCACATGGCCCACTGTGTTATGTCACTTCCTGCACTTGATAAATGATCCAATATTCAAGGAGTCTGAAACCTTTGCACAGTTGGAAGTACACATGACTATTTCAAAACTAGGTTTTTGTTTTTTTTTAATACCTAATACACACGACTTGCAAATTTCCTTGTACCCCATGACATTTTTTTTCATATTTGGGCACTTTATAACCATTGTCATCTCTAATTAGAAACAGATACACTTTTATAACTCTAAAAATAATAAGCAACCAGCTTTGTTGTGAGGTTACCTATTTAGTACTCAGATTTCACCTGCTTTTAATTTATTATCGGCATTAATAGATATTTTTAGAAGACATCAGTTATAAAATACCACAGTTAACAAATCAAATTTAAAGTAGGGTATCTGTAAAATATAATATACAATACAATATTAGCAGCTTTGAAAATCTAATGAAGCACTGCTTCATTAAGGACAATATTATTCAGAGAAGCAGCCAAACACAGTGGTGGCCGCATCATGATAAGGATTTTTTTTTTTTCTGTCAGGAATAGGGAAGAAGGTCAAAGTTAAAAGCAACAAAGATGGAGCTAGTTACAAGTCTGTCAAGAAATAAACTGGTCGGAGTCTGTAGAAGACTTGACTAGGGTGGGGCAGGAAACAGCAGTGTTACAGGAGCCCGATATATGCAGGAACTGCTGGTCCTCTGTAGGGAAGTCTGAGGTTTAACTCCTGATCTTGTCAGTTCCCTCTCTGCCTGCTTCATATCTGACTTGCCAGAAAAGAAATCTAAGATCTTGAATTGAAACTGTTGAACAGGCTCCCCTTCCAACTGATCATGGACCATTAAACTCCAGGTAGAGCTACAATCCTATGGTTAAAGCATGACTCCATGAGTTAGAAGGGCCTGATTAAACAGTCCTGAATAAAACTGAGCGTTGCAGTTTTCAGATTTAAAGGTCCTTTCCATCCATTTCCCTTCATGATTATCCCAAACAGGGTCTCGAGGGGTGCTGGTGTCTATCACCTATAGAGAATTTAGAGAAGCCAATTAACCTAACAGTTATGTTTTTGGACCATAGGAGGAAGCTGGAGTACCCAGAGAGAACTCGTGCATGCTCAGAGAGAGCATGCAAACTCCATGCAGAAAGACCCCGGGGCCGGGAATCGAATCCGGAACCTTCTTGCTGCAAGAAGCAGTGCTACCCACTGCTGTACAACTCCAGGCCCTGTATAACTCTATAATCATAAAAGTTTGACTTATTTTGAATAGTGCACCTTTTAGCTCTATAGTACATCATCACAATTGTGTTGGTTGACTTTGTGAAGACAATCACAATGAAATACAATACATTTTATTATTACTTCACAAGCTATAACAAAATACAAGAGATGTAAATACTTGTGCAGGACTGAGCAAGTATCCTCAAATTTCTTGTGTCGTTGTTTATTAATAGTCCATTATAGAGTTATGATCTTTATTAAATTATTCCCTGATTGGGATATTACCACTCATGTTATCTATAAAGATAAGTGTCTGTCCTAATCAGAGGCAAATAAGTATTAAGTGCACTGCTATAATTAGTTCACTTTGATATTTATGTCAGAGCCAGTTAGTCCTTTGTGCCTCAGCCGCCAACAGTTTTGTATAGCAGGAAACCCCCCCCCCCAAAAAAAGCACAAAGAGCTTGACTATAATAAAAATAATCTCTGGGATGAAATAAAAAGTAGAAAAATTGGGCTTCACATCATTCCCATAGGAAAATAAGCTAAACATCCTACAGAGATAAAATCATAGGCTTTAAGCCATCAGTTTATTTTCTAATACAGATGCTGAGTTTATGTTGTTGAATAAAAGGCAGATTGTTCTTACTAAACCTTGCATAAGAAATTATGACCAAGTCTGCTAAGTTAGAGAAGACTGAAATTGTTCATTACATATCTGCAATGTTTGAACATTTTTAAAATGAGCTCCAAAGTGTTGATTGCACACTGTGGATCTGATGGACAAGGAGACATCAGTAAGGTTTAAGTCAACCTCTACGCTATTAACACAAATGCAAAAAGACTTTGAATAGTAGGTATGTCATGATCTTGGCAGTGATGACTGACTTAATTATAAATTCCATTTACCTGTCCAACTCTGCCCGGTTTCTCATCACTGCTCATCTTATCCACCTGCCCCTGCCTATATTGAAGGTGCCTGCATCCAGACATCAGGGACAGATTATCTTGTTCTCTCTAGCCAGTGGTGGAGTGTTTTTAGTGAACCTTGTGTTTCTGATCCCCTGATCCTGGCCTGTTTTCCCTCTAGACCAGTGAGCCTGCCTGTTCCTGTTCTGATCTGTTTACTTCACCTGGCTTTGGACTCCTGGACCTCTGAGTCTGCCTGTTCCTTTTCTGATCCGTTTGTTTGAGCTGGTCTCGGACTGCTGCTTGTTCTCTGGGGCTACAGCATCTGGGACACTCTGGGCGGCGCTCGCCGCATCTTGATGGCAGCCCACCGGCTGGATCCTTTCTCATTCTCTTGACTCAGACTAAACTTGTAAACCAGAGTTTCCTGCCTCAGACACCCTATCCACTGCTACTGCATATCCGCAGCTCGTACCGGTTTTAATAAACGCTTTTTTTAAAATACACTGTCTGTCTTGCCTGAATTCTGGGTCTATCTGTTCTGAACCGTCACAAGGTATGACTAGATACATGTAGTTATTTAATACTACTATCAGGTTGAGTCTGTTTTTGCTTCTAGGATGCCCTACTTCTTGGTGGTATCCCTCCAACAAAGAGTAGGACTGAGAGAATTTGCCCCATTATGGGGTGAAAGCATTACTGTCAGTTGATGCAGGTCAGTTGTACTATTACACCCTCTATGTGTTCTAGTGGCTTTAGATCTAGTGACTGTGGAGGCAGTTACTCATTAGCATGTTCAGAGAAATAAAGCATAATCTGTCTAACTTTGGTAACGTGGTCTATTATCAGGATGGAAGTAGATGGGATAATTAAGAGATCATCACTAAATGATCATCAGTAAAGGGATGGACATGGTCAGGAACAACGCTCAGGCAGGTTGGGGGTTTTATAGATGCTTAACTGGTAACTAAGGAGCCAAAAAAATCCCAAGAAAACATCCACCACATCCTTGCAGAGCAGCTGGTGTTGTAACAGGGAATGATGGATCCATGTTTTCTTAATGTTTATCCCAAATTCTGATACTGAGTTTTGAATGAGGTGGCTGAAATTGTCACTCAGCTCAAGACAATGTTTTTATTTACAGTTGTGTTCAGTGTGTAAATTACAGCCCAGCAAAGAACAAGAAACCAAAGGGGACATTAGTGGGGTCTCCTGCTGCTTTAGCCCTTCAAGGTTTGGCATGCTGTGTATTGATAGAGATATTCTGCATACCTTGGCTGTAAGGAGTGGCTCTTTGGGAAAATATTGCCTTTCACAATCTTGTTACAATCTGCTCATTCTCTAAACTCTGATATCAACAAGGATTTTTTCCCCCACATAAATGGAATATCTTTTCTATCAACATTCAATGTCTTCCCTATTTTGAAGACATTCCCAGATGGTTGTGAGGAAATTATATAGTATACAGGATCAATAAACCTAATGAGTTACTTAATAAATGCTTTGTTCTTGATTATTATGACTCCGTTTTGAACTTCAATAACTCTCAATGAATTAACTGTACGGTGTTTGTTTTGTGGATATATATTGAAATATACTTGTGTAGGTATAGTGATTAGGAAGTGCCAAAGTTTAGTCCATTTATTCTTTAAACTGCCCTTAGATGTTAAGGTTGTCTGTTTATTTTTCTACCAGTGTCTTGGATTGAAAACCTCACCTGTTAAAAACCATGTTGAGCTAAATCAACCCAGCCCTCGGATTGGTTTCAGATTGGTCTTTTAAATGGTTATGTTAGACAAAATTTCCCATTCAAGCAGATTTAACATAAAAGTGAAAGCCTGTTAAAGTAATCCTCCCATTATTGCCCAAGTTGTTAAATCAAGAAATATGTATATCTTTTTATATACATCCAGCAGTCTATTCTTGAAAAAAATCTTTGGTTTGACTAAACATTCGAAATATGATTGTTGACTAAATCCAATTAACAGTGAGCTAGCATATTGTACACTGTGTATACAGGCACGCTAACAAAGATACCTGCAAGAGTCAAAAGAATATCAGTGTTAGTTTTATTAAATACCTGTTGAAGTGTTGAATAGCCTAATAATTCGTTAGAAGAATCTGAATTAGCATTATTTGAAAAGTTTGTTAAATGAAGGAATTTGACTTTGGTTCCACTCTTCTCTCAATGAAAAAATATAGAATAGGTGGAATTTATAAGAGGGAAATAAGTACATAATTTTGTAAATATGTGTTTTATGAATGACTTATGCATAAGCGATAACAGTCTAGTAAATTACCAATTAGTTCCGTTAAATCTAAAGTTATTTTAAACAGCTTAACTCATGCTAGTCTAAAGCAAAGTTTATAACAATCTTTAGAAGGTTTTAAAAAGCTATGGTTAAAGGACCTATTAGCATAACAAATTCCACTTTGGTTATAGGCAAAGACATTTATTTTCTCTAATAAATAAGTAAACTTAAACTTGCACAACAATATCGCTGTCTACAATTTTAGAAACCACAGAAGAAGAATGCTGACTCCTCTGAAAGAAATCACAGCTTGGCATTGATTTGATATCATTCATAGTCGTCAAAAGAAACATGTGAACACAATCGTCTGTCCATAGAAAACTTAACTCTTTAGAATCTCAAACATTCATAAGTTTAAGCCAGTACACATGTGCATGTTTAGTTTTAAAGACACAGCATCCCTAGTGGCGAGGGGTGAGAATGACACCTTTTTAAGATGTCTGCTGTTGCCATGTAAACAGACGAAAAATTTAAATTTTTTTAAATATTAATGAAACCAGAAACAAGTTCCGTTCTCAAAAGATCATTTTCGTGTAAAATGGACCTAAGTAAAAATTTAAGTACATTTTTTACCCAGTAGTTTGTGTTAATATTTTTTAAAGCGGTAAATACTTTTAAAACAAGTTTAAAACAGAGATGAGTATGATGTCCAACAGGACCTGGTCCTCTTGAAGCTAATTCATGGGATCAATCATAGACATGGGTGTGTCGGACTTTTGCCTTTAAAGATAAAAACATTTAATGACCGCAGCTATCAGTGAAGGCTGCGCCGGGGATCGAACCCACAACCATTGGCATGAGCCTTCGGGCGGAGCGCCCTCATCTGTCTCTGTGTAGCGGAAAGTCTACCAACATAAGGGTGATCACGGCTATAACGGAGGCTTATTATAGTTAATAACACACACAACCCGCTAGCAGGACAGAGTGTATACAAGTCAAACAGAAAACACGTTAACATGACGCAGATAAACCGACGTTACTCACCATTTCTTAGTGCACTCCAACACAAGTTCCTGATAAGAAGCGATAAACTGGAACTTTGAAGCTTTTTTACCCACTCGCTGTAGTCGTTTCCACACCGAAGTCATCGCCTAAGTCGGTAAAAAATCTAATTAAATCAACGTCCACACCCAGGAAGAGGTGAATAATCCAACTTTCATCCGCTGGTTCTGGTCTTTAGAGGAGGGTTTGTCTCCTCTTCATCCGCCGCTGATGAAACTCGCACAAGCTGCGACTTGCGCTCATTTGCAATGCCTCCAACTGCACCACTCTCTAAACACGGTAACCTGGTGTAAACTTAGTCATGAATAAAAAAAAAAAAAAACTAAACTGACAGGAGCAGCAAAAGTAGAAACCAAATGATTCCCTCAGACTTTAGAGGGTTTCAAATGAAAAACTGCAGAAGCTCTCATTGACAGCTTGTCTGTGCTGTAACCCACATGGAGGCAGCGCAGCTTACTTAACTCTAAGTTGTTGTAACACAGATCTGCTTCCTCTTGACTCAGTCAACCCTCCCTTTTTCTGCCAAACAGCCACAGACAGAGAAAAATAAGAGAGGATATGCAAAGCGAGTCTATGTAGATTCAGCAATAGGCTATGCAAAGTCCTTAGTCTCCCATGCCTGCAGACTTTGAACTTGATTGTCAGTATCTCTGGAACACCCTTATCTAGCTTCATTTCACACAATTAACCCTGCATATACTTATTTGTCTGCAGACTGCAAGGGTCAAACCCTGCATTCATAAATTATTTCCAAGATTTGGATCTGGGCTCATAGTTATGACTTAAGTCACTTCCTGAGTTTTGGCTACATCACTGCAATGTTCCTGGGAAAACTTTGTTCATTTTCTTAACTGCAGAGGCATAGTTTCCACTGGAGAAAAACTGTTTCACTTAGTAAGTGTGTGTTCAACTGAGGTCAAAGCAGAGGGATTTTCCTCAGTGAGAGCAGCGGAGTATTTTTAGTCGGAGGATCATTTATGGACAGAGGCAGCTGGATGGAGGAGTGTGGGGAAGCAGCAACAGGGGGGGAAAATCTCTCATGACTCAGGGGGGGCTCTAATTTTACACTGAGTCTCCAGTCCTGTCCCCTCCTTGACCAGCCATGAAAACCCACCTGACATGATGATGATGATGATGATGAATTGACATCTATTGGAGTTGAAAACACAAATAGAGACTCAAATCAAAAACACAACATCCGCAAGTTATTTTATTGCGACAGAACGATATAAAGTTGTGCAAAATTGGAAATTGGAAATAAAATCATAAGAAATATCTGAATAATTTGGCCCTGTTACTTTAATGGCCTCAAATAAAATCAACCTTAACTGATTAAACAAAGTTTACGTGTGTGATTTAATCTCACTATAAATCAGGAAACTTTTTAGAGAACATGGGAGAATATTTTTTGGCTATGACTCCATCCTAGAGAGAAATATCAGCCATGCTGCTGCCATCAACACCCTTTTTCATAGATGTTGGAGATCGGCCTGTTTTCCAGTGTTGTCCTGTTTCTCTAACTGTGACTGGCTGGATGTGCTCTCTTCATCCTCTGACATGGGAGCTGGCTTGGAGCTCGTCTGCCTGGCTGTGTGTTTCCATGACAGGGCCGCCTTTTACTGCTGCTTTTAGTATCTCTGCTTCTGTCTCCTTGAACCCCAGTCGGCCTCGGCAGATGGCCGCTCACACTGAGCCTGGTTCTGCTGGAGGTTTCTTCCTGTTAAAAGGGAGTTTTTCCTCTCCACTGTCGCTACAAGCATGCTTAGTGTGAGGGATTGCATTTGAGTCAATGAGTCAATGCAATTAGCTGGTTTTCCTTAGATAGAAAACTTGAATCAATTTGACAGTATGACCTGGTGAACTGTAAAGTGACCTGAGATGACGTGTTGTGAATTGGAGCTATATAAATAGACTGAATTGAGTTGAATAAAGAGCCGCATGTGACCAATGAAGAAAGGTGGGTAGAGTACCAAAAAAACATAGTTGAGTGAAAGTAGATCGCTTTCATCATATTGTTACACAAGTTAAAGTAAATATAGCCTTTAAAGACATTACTCAAGTAAGAGTAAAAAAGTATTTGGCAAAAAGGCTACTCAAGTACTGAGTAACTGATCTACCGACTACTTGTTATCATAACAGCTGATTTAATATTATTTGGACTTATATAATAGTGGTTTTAATAAGTTACAGTAGAATAGGTTACTGTGGTTTGACTCCACCTCCAAAAGGCACGGCAGACTCAGCAGATGGGAAATAATATTTAACCCATAAGCCTTTAGTACAAAAAAAAGAAGAAATTGTCTCTCAAAGGTGCATATTTGTTTAAAACGAGCTTGTTTTCATTAAGGGAAGTTACTCACAATGGATGGATTAGTCAGAGATTTTACTCAAGTAAGAATGGTGATTCTTTATCATATATTTGCTCTAGTGAAAGGGAAAAGTACAATGCTGTAAAACTACCCCTTAAAGTATATTTAAGTAAATGTAATTGTGTAAATATAAGTATTACTAACCACGTCTGCCAATGAGCCCACCTGACAGGTCAGGGATAAAGTTGTGGGAAGGGAAATGTAGATTTAGATTTAAAATCTTACAGGAAACATTTTAATGCATAATCTGTAAAAATAAAAAAAAATAAAAAATAGACCACAACAAAGAAACAAAGACACAACAACAAATAAGATATAAAGGCAAACCTATGTATGACTGTCCTCCTAAACTGATAGTGCAAAGTACTGATCAAAGAAGCAGCCAAGAGACCAATGGTGACTCTGGACCAGTTGTAGGGATCTGAAGCTCAGGTTGGAGAATCTGTTGATGACAGCTGTTGGTTAAGCGCTCCTCAGATCTGGCTTTTTGAAAGGCACGGTAAAAGGAAGCAATTAGAAACATGACGGTTTCTGATGAGTTTCTGATGAAACTCCAAACCTAAATCCAATTGAAAATTTATTAGAAGATTTAAACCTGAATGCTTATGAACACTTTACTCACTCTGAATTTCATGGATTATGCACACATAAATATTGGCAGAGACATACTTTGAAAGATTTGAAGCAGGATGCAAGTGCAAATAATAATTACCTGAATTTCTAAACCTTATGCATTATTATGAATTTCTTAATTTGTGTCGGTCTGTCAAAAATAAAATTTGATACAACAAAGTTTGTGGCTTTAATGTAAAAACAAGATTCTGGGTTTTAATAAACATACAGTGTGTTACCTGCTTGTCTTTTTGACTTTATTCATTAACGTAGGCTGGTTTATCAAACTATTTGGGGATTCATATAAGATTGCTTCCATTTGAAACCATTTCTGTATCAATGTGTGTCAAGTTGTAGTTGTTCAAGCTGCTGTTGACGTGTTTGCAGTCCACACAGTTTCTTTACCTCCTGATTAACCTAAAAACATTGGCTCCCAACTGCTTAAATATCTGCCTATATCTTTTTTTTCTAAACTTTGCAATAAAAACATATTTGACAAGTGTGTAATCCTTTGCAAAACACATGGCTTTAAATTTAGTTTTTTTTTTCATTATAGTACAGTTAAATAGTCCCATTCTCTCCTTATGGGCTGACAGAAAGTCATCTGACAGCTGTAAGTCCTTATTTGAATAGAGCTGATAAAAAAACACTCAAACAATCATCGCTCAGGATGACATAGACAAAATTTGGGAACATTCAAATTTCTAGTTCAGCCACTTTTGGACAGAAGGGGACAGAGATGTTTTCTGTCATTTGTGAGATCTCCATAGCATATGTTCATTTCCAACTATGTGGAACAGGAAACTATGTCTTGAAAACCTCCCCAGAGCTGCATATGGATGACTGAAGGTATAGAAGAAAGAGACAGAGAGAGAGCGGGTCTCCCTTTTGCAGCGTTCCTCCTGCTAGACAGAATATACATACCATTTTTTTGTTTAATTCAGATTCCTGGATACACTGCATCTACATAGCAAGACAGAGAGATGCTGGTTTCTGATCTAAAACAGATCGATCACAAAGTTTACTCACTCCTGTTAAAATACCTAATTTTACAATAAAAAAAAGAAACTAAGATGGAAAAAAAAAAGAAAATCATCTTTTATGTGGTATTTAAAGAATGTTACACTCTGTGCCTTAAAAAAATGTTGGTTAAACATTTCTTTTTTTTTAAATTATCCAAGCCTGAAGAAATCTACAAATCTCCCTAAAGGATTTAAAGAAAAATAATTTGTGTTAGCTGAAAACAAATCTAAAGCAATACTAGAGTGTATCTCTGGCAACAATGAAGTATCAGTACTAAAAAAAAACAACACTGATCGAAACACAGTGTTGGCTGCATCATGATAAGGGAGTCATTTTTTTTTTTTTTGAGGTGGATGGATATTTAAACTTCCACTCAGTCCATATCTGTCAGTTTTCCAAAGTTAAATGTTAAGAGATATTTATTCTTCAGCACCACAGTGAATTCAGGCATACATACACGTTAACATAAAGCAGAAAGATAAAGGTTTGGAAAGACCTAGCAAAGGCCTACAGGTCTCCTGAAGAGCGCTGTAGATAAGACAAGTCGTCACAATCTGATGGGTTGAAACTATTTTTAGGTAGAGAGGGGAAATGGGAGATGTGCCCCCCACCAAAGAAAAAAAAAATTATCAAAACAAAACTTCAACCCTTAAGCAACCAGGGTCATACCTTTCTTTAAAGGTATATCCGCTGTATCCGCTCCAGAGAGGGATGTCTATTAAACGCGTGCACAAGCCCATTTCTCCTTGTGCACTCTCTGTTTAAAGGTACACTATGCAACCGGTGTTGATTTTCCAGCGAGGCTCCCCCCAGAGGGCGAAAGTAAAAGTGCACTGTCGTAAATATGCTCAGCTGTTCTCCTGGTTTCTCCGTCAAGCCAGGCGCGGTTGTTTTGAGCTTAGCAGCGAATGACTAATGCTGCGTTCACACTGGACGTAGCTGGCGCGACAGAAGCAGCGAGTTTACATGCAAAGTCAATGGTTGACGCGCGTCAAGGCGCAGCAAAAGGTCCCGCGGTGCGTTTTGAGCAGCAGGCGCAGCACGTCTGAGCAGCCGAAGCAGCGCGTCGGGTGCGTTTAACGCAGGGAGAGAGACACAGCGCTGATGATCACTCCTCTTAAACAGTTTATTGACGCCTAAATTAACTTAAAATGCAGAAAACTGCCGGCAGAATATGCAGTTTGGATTATTTAGATAAAAAATACCTACCAGCTGCCGCGGTGAACCACTGCTGATGAAGGGATCCATACTCTCGGCGCATCCCTGGTATGTGGGGGTCTGAGCGGCTCCGACAGAAAAAATATTGAAGGCAGGATGATAATCTGAACTGACTGCACTGATTACGTTTTCAGGTGTATTTTCTCACTTAAAAACATATTAAAACTACTTTATTCCCACTGATCACAGCAAATATAGCTGCAAGGCAGAGAAAGGATAGTGAAGCTCCGCCCAATGCGCCTTAGACACACTTTTGCACCGCGCAGCCAGAGCAGCAAAGCTGCTACAGCCGCGCGTCAGAACTAACTGGTACAAGCAGAAAAAAGGAAGCAGCAGACGCGATTTTGCTGC